TTATAAAGTTGAATACCGCATTGAAACCGCGTGATTTTTGCCATTTGCGAGGGGGCGCAAAAAATCAAAACCATGACGAAAAGGTTGGGCAGCGTTTAACCTGGTTTTAAGATTGGATCCAGAAAAATGCCAACATTTCTGTAAATTTGGGGTTCCCCTGATGGGTTTGACCTAGGGCCCACAAGTATGCAAATTCGGCCCTGTATAAAGCGGACTTTGGTTGTTCGCGCATATCGAACCACTGGACATAATTACAGTGCCTAGTCGTTAGAATGAGGCGAATGAAACCCTTGACAAATTCGCTAAAGTTTCTTCATAGCACGCAGTATGGCGTTTGTCGGTCATTTAGCAACCTGGTTGGTGAAGAAATGAAATGAAATAGGGTTTAATGACCTACTGTTCTCCTCCAGGGGGTTGGATGGCCGAATGGTTAGCACGTGGGCGCTGTATCATAAGGTCTGTCTTTGAGTCAACTGGCGTGGTTTCGATTCCACGGTTGTACGTGGCGAGGAGTAGGGTCGCCTGTCCAATCTCTTGGTTTTTCTCCGTGTCCTCCCACTTCTAAAGACCCCTACGCGCAAGCGAATTAATAAAATAAAATTGAGCAAATGTTAGTCCTGAAATGACCTAGTTTGTGTCGAGTGGACGTTAAACCCCCCCCCCCTCTCTCTCTCTCGCTGTGTGTTCTGCTCCGGCTTGGCTATAGTGAAGTGAAATGGGGTTTAACGTCCTACTTTTCTGCTCCGAACTGGGCTAATGAAGACGGGCAAATACAGTGTGCTATGATGGAAATTTTGCCCGGGCAGCGGCGCTACGACCTACTCTTATATCGAATTCCAACTGCCAAGGTATCTTTTACGTGCACGCCAACATGTACACGGGGCCTCGGTTTTTCGTTCCATCCGAACGACTAGACAGCTGTCCTTGTCAGGCCCTCCGTCCTGCATCACTGACAAGGGATTGGTGAAGAAGAATAGTAGGACCTGTACTGAAATGAAATGTTAACCTATTTGATTATTAACTTATGTACTCCTGCACTTACTATTACACGTTATTAATAGAAACCACCAATGCATGACGGGCCATAAATCAGTCAAATATCGTCATATTAATTGTTTTAATTCATTCAGCACACTTGAATCATTTCTGTTTTTACTTCTCTCGCGTTTTAAAATCGATTAAAATAAACAAATACACGAATTGAACTCTCAAAAAAAAAACCTTACTGAAGTTTTCTTCATTTTCTTATTTCAAAGGTAAGTAATGAATGTTGTGGGAATTCCAAGAAACAGACAACTATTCTAACACGCATCTACTCTTACTTATGCCGATTTATTTAGTTAGAATCTTAACCGATTTACAAGATACAGACCCAAAATAAAGAATGCACCGAATGACTTCAATGACTGGCATGCATATCAGTTGTTTTGTCTTTTTCATATGTATACTATCCGTAAAATACGTTCCCCTTGGCTACTTGTACTGTTAGGACCACAAAAAGGCAGTTATCTATCTTGACTCGTGCGGCGTTGTACGTCTGGTATATCTTTAAAGATATTAATTGTCTCCCGCCTTCGATGAAAATAGGAGACTATTAAATAGGTCTGTCTTTTCGCCCGTCTGTCTGCCTGTCCGTCATACTTTTTGGAACACAATAACTGTGCTTCTAATTGAGCTAGGATTTTCAAACTTGGTGGAGGTGTTCAATAGGCGAATGCCTTGACTGAGTTCGATGATGAGCATTTTCTGCTTAGGCTAAGCAGAGATACGCAATTTGATTGGTTGATGCTTTGGAACACGATATCTTTGCTTCTAATTATGTCAGAGTGATGAAACTTAGTGTAAAGTTTCATTACATCAATACCTTGACTAAGTTCAATAATGGACATTTTCGGCTCGGGGTATGCAGAGTGATAAGCAATTTGATTGGTCGAGACTTTGGAGCTCTAAAACTTTGATTCTAAATGAGTGAGAATGGTGAAACTTGGCGTATATCATAATATAAGTAATTTGTTTGGTCGAGACTTTGGAGCTCGACAACTTTGAGTCTAATTAAGTGAGAATGGTGAAAATTGGCGTATTTCGATACATCAATACCTTGACTAAGTTCAATAATGCGCATTTCCCATAGTTTCATTACATCAGTACCTTGACTAAGTTCATTATTAAACATTTTCTGAATCAATGTTTTCTGGATACATATTACACTTAAACACGCATTATGCAAAAGGCAAATCTGCCTATTACTATTAAAGGTCTTATATAAGCTAGTAATTAGACATTTATTAACGTGAAAAGACAATAATCAACTCTGGATGAAATCTTATATGTCAGATTTTCATTGGATTTGAATCCCATCTGCTGTTCAACTTCCGTTGATAATTAAACACAAAATGGATAATCGAGACTTTGTTAATTATCGTGACAGCGGTAACAATGACAATCGAGGCTACCGAGATTTTAAAATAAGGTTTTCTCGGCTTAGACTGAAATTTTCAGCATAATCAATTTACATCATCTAGTTTTTAACTATTATAGTGAGAACTGTCAGCTCTTTATCTAATATTTCATATGATATATCTTGGTTTATTTTGTCTTGTGTGTAAAACTGTTTATGCATCAAACTGAATACCATAAAATCAATTCTAAATAAACACTTTATGATTGATGGTTTATCGGTATTTTATTTCTCAATGATTCTACCGCTATCTATAGAATAGGCTACCTTGGTTACAAAAACTACCAAATACACCTAACCTAATACCATGCAACAAAACGGGGACTAATAAAATACATCTGTCTGGTCACCCTTTGAAATATATTTCTGCTTTAATAATGAACAGTTTCTGCTCACATTAAACACTTATAAGTAAATTTATCGATGTTTAATAAAAGAGGTCCCGTGGCGTGCACGTAAAAGACCCCTTGACAGTTGGAATTCGATATAAGAGTAGGCCGTAGTGCCGCTGTCCGGGCAAAAATTTCCCTCATAGCACACTGTGTGGCGTATGCCCATCTTCATTAGTCCAGTTCGGAGCAAAACAGTAGGACGTTAAACCCCATTTCATTTTCATTAAATATTATGCATTTAAAAAAATGTGTGTCATCTCATTACTTTTTCAAATTGGCGGGGGACATCAGCCTCAGTGATTTCATTTTATCTCTGACGGTTCTGGAATCCCGCCCTGGATTTCATTTTAACGCTAGGTTTCTCTGTAAAATTGATGTATATTAGTGGTATAGTATTGCTGCACCCCGAGCATTGCTAAGCTAACACTGTCATGAAATAACTATAAATGATGCATGCCATAGAGAGGTTCTGTTGTTTAGATTGCCGTTCAGAAACTGCATGCAGGGGCGTAAATGTGGGGTGTGGGGGGTGTGGGGGGGGGGGTGGTACACCCCCCCAGGAAGAAAAATAGTCGGTCGCAAAATAAGAGCAGTCGGTATCAAAATAAGTGCACACTGCATACGTCACGCTACTCACGCAAAACTTTAGTATAAAATAACCTTGTCAAATGCTGTGTTTCACTGTTATTCTGTTGTGAGTATGTTGGTCTATGAACAAATTTCCCCCAGGAAGAAAAATAGGCGGTCGCAAAATCAGTGCAGTCAGTCGCAAAATAAGAGCAGTCTGTATCAAAATAAGTGCTCACTGCATAAGTCACGCTACTCACGCAAAACTTTAGTATATAATAACCTTGTCAACTTATCATGTTTGAAAAAATGTCGTGTTTCACTCTTATTCTGTTGTGAGTATGTTGGTCTATGAACAAAATTTCACCCAGGGAGAAAAATAGTCGGTCTCAAAATAAGTGCAGTCACTGCAGTCGGTCTCAAAATTATGCATCGGCGACTCAATGAATTAATGAGGTAAACAAACAATGCCAGAATAGATCCCAAATACTATGTATTTGCGTGAATCCGTGAGCCTAAATTGCAAACGTCACACAAAACTATAGTATAAAATAACTATGTCTGCTTGTCATGTTTGAAAAAATGTTTATCACTCTTATGCTGTTGTGAGTATGTTGTTCTATGAAATTTTTTTCCCCCATGGTAAAAAAACAGTCGGTCTCAAAAACAGGCGAAATTGACTGATAGGCCGCAAGATTCTGTCTCATTTCTTATTTTCTCGTTAGCGAGAATTTGGTTCCATTTGCTATGACAATGACAAATTTTCAGGCCCAGTCCCGAAAAATTAAAAGCCTGGTTACATATCTGAAAATTTTTCGCGTCTGCGACGCTCGATTCCGTTGTAGCAACATTCTTCTATTCCTCTGTTTTCTTATACTGTCTCGGCACTATCATATTCACGGTTATAGTGAACTGCCCAGTTATACTGGTGTGTGGGTCGTGGGGCGTCAGACTATACAAATGTTATGTCAACTCTTGCAAAACAGGTGGAATTGACAGGGGGAGATCTCGAGATTCTGTCCCATTGGCTCACATTTCTGGTCCTCTCGTCCACAAGATTTCCCCCCAGCAATGACCTCAAGTGCTAGGATATTGACTCAATTTTTCAAAATTTTCTCAGGTTGCTCAGTGTTATAGGCACAATTATCATGTATGACATAAACATGTCAACTTAAATAAAACTGCTTTACGGCGAGACAACGATCGGCGAACAAGTATGTTCTACTGGGACGCTTAATGTTATAGCCAGTATTTTGTTGACATTCATTGTGGGGTGGGATTGTGGATGGCGCCCTAGATTTGGAACCACCCCCTATTCCCAGCTTCGAGATCTGCTCTGCACATGTCCCCTAGAAAACTTGCGCCTGTGGTGCGCGGCTCCTGACTGCGTCACTCGTACTGGGGTATGTGCATCAGTCGGTCGCATTTTGGCTAAACACCCCCCCAAACAAAAGCGTTATGTACGCCCCTGACTGCATGCAGTGCACTCGACTGGGTGTATGGGTTGTTCATTAACTGCAATGTCCTTCAAAGTTGTTCGCAATTGTCCACAATATTTCGATTTCACTAAAACGAACCAACTATTGAAATTAAAATATGATTTTATTGGCCAGTAAAGACATTTAGATATATATAATTTATAAACAAAACACTGAATTGATAAATATACATTTGTAACACACATTTCTAACATTTACTTCATCTGGTCAATGATAAATTATCTCCCTTGAATTAGCCTTGCTATATTTTAAAGGCTAATAGTAAATAAACATATACATTGCATCCATATTCTTTAAATTAGGTTTTTTTCATTTGCTGTGAAATGCTCAGGCCAATTAAAAAGTTATTTAGTTTTACAAATAAACTGTCAACTGATAAAATATCTTTCAGTCATAACTCATAATCAGCTGTCATCTTTATTAACCCAGTCAGAGCAGAACACTAGGATGTTAAACCCCATTTCATTTCATTTATAATCAGCTGAATCTAAGTGTGTGAATTTTTTTAGAGGGAGAGAGAGAGAGAGAGAGGGGGTTTAACCTCCATTGTCACTAACTAGGTCATTTTGGGACTAACACGTAGGGGTCTTTAGCCACGGAAGGAAACCAGAGGAACAGGAGAATACCCATGAGGTTGGATAGGTGACCCTACTCCTTGTCACGTTCAAGTGGGGAATTGAAACCAAGTTACGTGACTAAATAACTTGTGATTTCATGCACACAGTAACCACTAGACCATCCAATAAAACATTCACTCTCATAAATGATAATCTATATACAATAATTACATACAATACCACCTTGAAATAAAAACAAAAAGACCATACCCATTCTATTTTTACTTCTTCCAAACTAAAAGCTGTTGAGAAAAGCAAACAAATATTTTTTGTTTCTAAATTATTTTTTTCTTCTCTAAGAAAAAAGAGGCCAAATTTTGATACATGTTCCCAAATAACAAAAGTTGAAATTGGTTTGGCCTAACTACATGTAGATAGGTACTGGGATAAACTCAAATGGAATGTATATAGTTAGAAATACAAAAGTAGCTATGTGAAATCCTCAAAAAAGTAGCTATGTGAAATCCTCAAAAAAGTAGCTATGTGAAATCCTCAAAAAAGTAGCTATGTGAAATCCTCAAAAGTAGCATTGGCAACTCCTCAAAAGTAGCATTGGCAACTCCTCAAAAGTAGCTATGTAAAATCCAAAAAAGTAGCATTGGCAACTCCTTTTTTTTATCACACATTATTCTGGCTTTAATAGTTTTTTTTTCTACAGTTAATAAAAATTATCTAAACAACATTACTTTACAAAATATGTAAGGTATACAAAAATTACAAGAGTTAGATGAACACCTCAATAAGAATGAATGAATGAATGAAATATGGTTTAATATCAGTACCAACCGGGCCATATTACGTCAAACATATGGTGAACTATTCAAGCCTCAAATATATCATTTATATAAATTATTTACAATGAATATTACTAACAAATGGAAAGAGTGTGTGCAGTAGGTAGGGGGTGGGGTAAAGATAACAGAGTGAAATAGTGGGTCGGGAGAGGGGGTATAAGTTGAGATACAACTGCATGTATATCAAATAAATACAAATCAACTATATATATATATATATATATGTATATAATTACATACTTTTTTTACATCAATAATAACAAATTAATCAACAACAGAATAATAATAATCAACAATCAACATCAATAATAAAGTAATGATAAAAGACAATAACCTAAGCAATGGTGAAAGTGTTTTTATCCATTAAATATCTACGTAATCCAATGTTCTCGAGAGTTGATTATAGGCTTGTTGTGTGAATAAATGTCAAATAATTTATATAACATTTGAAACTAGAAAAAAGACCTGCAGTAGGGAGATTTTGCTCTTACATAATGTATGTTTAACCTAAGTAAACAATTATTATTAGAAATATTCAGGTCTCAGTCTCAACCCATGCTCAGTTAAGCCACTAAATAGGTACAAGGCAAAAGTACTATGAAGATGTTATCACCTACATTTAACGATTTAACGACCCAACAGAAGGTTTATGTAAAAATATAGACATGTGCATGTCATCCAAGAGTAATCAAGCATTTACGCATTCCTCAAATTGTCCAAAATTAAAGTTCAGGACATGGAAACTCTAATTCTAATCTATGCAAAACAAGAGATGATTATGGTTAAAAATCTGTCTTTTATTAACTAGCTCAAGTTACATTTGTAAAAAGTGAAGAATTTTATTATGTATCAAAATATGAATAAAATAATGAATGAGCATGTGTTATGAAATATAATTTATTTAATGGGTGGGTGCATGGGTAGCAGTATTTGAAATTAGTAGTACTATCACCATGAAAGGAAAGACATCATAATAGTTCTATTAATATTATGGCACCGAACAGGTATAGCAGAAGTGAAACACTGTCTTGTGTATAAACAGTTATAGCCATAGGCATACGAGCTGGGGGAGGGGGGGGCGGGGGGGCTGGGGGGCTGGGGGGGGGGGGGGGCAGCCGCACCAAATGCTTGGAAAATTTGGGCACACAATTGTACTTTGTAAAAGTTGTATAAAAAAATATTGTGTTCTTGAATGTGTCCAATTTAACAGCGAATTTAAATTCAGAGTGTCTATAGTTAGGCAATTAAATAGAAATCTTAAGACTCGAACCCTCTATTGTTTGGAGTACAGTAAGCCACAAGTTACAGTTACATAAACAACTGTTTTTAGTTGTGTATATTACAAGTAAATAAAATTTAGTTCTTTTTTATTGATGATTTAGAAATTAAGAACTTATTCATCGCAAAAGAGATATTGTAGAACCTGTTATGGGCCTTGAACTTTTTTTTATCTGGTAAAAACTCCTCAGAATCACTTAAAATGCATATTTATTCATACAAGATTTTGTAAAAAAAACCACAGACACCCTTAGCAGCATTCGGATCGGAAATATAGTCGGTACTCGGTCCGTTAGTTTAGTAAAAGAATCTGCACACTTCGTTTCCATCCTACAGGCCTGGTACATGAACCTATACTAACATACTAAGAACCACCGCACCAACCACCACCGCTCCCCCAGTCAAAAATTTCCCGTACACCTATGGTTATAGCAGAAGTGAAACACTGTCTCGTGTATAGGGTATGACTCTGGCTACAACACAGATATAATAAGTGGACATCTATGTTAGGGTTATTAGAGAGGCCATATTGTAACACACACTCACCAAACTTTAGCATCAATTAAATTATAAGGGTTTGTAATAAGCGACCTTGACATCAATCAATGTTTTAGAGAGCCATATTGAATTAAATATCAATTCTATAGTAAATCATGTCTTTACTGGCCAATACAAAAGAAATGCTCAGTCATAAAATTATATATCCACATCCATTCCCCATCTCCTGACTCAAATATTATTCTATAAATATTTTATAATAATAGCACAATAATATATATTATCATCTCATATACACACAATCAATATAACATTAATTAAAACACCCCTTTAACAAAAAAATACATTGTGCCAGAGTCACTTAATACATACAATTTGACAAGTTCATTTTGTATAAAAGGGGTGTTTCAATTAAAGTTCTTTCTATTTTTAAACTATATACAATATTTACATCTCTATATACAAATACTTGTGTTTGATATATACACCAATTTTTTTTAAAATGTGTTAGGATCTGGTATATGTGAATATTGACTACGGTACCCCGGTTCCTTGAAGAAAATATGAGAAAAGTGATATACCGGTATATCCCCGAAATCGCCCTAAACTACTGTTCTCTCAACTACCTGAAATCGCCTAAAGTATGTGAATACGTATGACAGTATATTAGTTCTTAGGCAGTTTTGGGCAGTCTAGGTAGCACTAGTTGAGAACAGTTCCAAGGCTGTCCATGAGCTAAAAAGTTGAACCAATCAAAGAGTTCTTAAATAAAATTAATATTAAGGTAGTTCTTTCTGAAGGACTAAAATTAAACTAGGTGTGGCCACAGTAAAAACTTCTGGCAAAGTGAATTTTAATGAAGATTCATTGGGACAACATAACAAAACAAAAATAATGTCTTGAAATTTGAAAAAAAAAAATATAAGATCTTGAAATTTGAAAAACTTGAAATTTGAAAAACACAAAGAAAAAACTTGTGACATCAATTGTCATAAATTTCCTAAATTGTTTTTGGTTTATTTGGGGTATTTTCTTCGTTGTCCATATTTCATGCCTGTTTTTTGTTTTGTTTCTGCTTGAGGTTGTGTCGTCTGCTGAAACTGGGTTGGATCAAACATGACAGGCATTCCTGGGGGTCCTGCATTCTGATTGGATGTCTGTTCCGTCTGCAAAAAATAAACATTTGAATACATTATGATTTCATGAAGATAATGAGGACACACGAATGAGCGGAGTATAAAACAACAAACTGGATGACTTGTTTAAAAAATAATAATCAAGTATCGATTTAATTTAATCAAACATCACGATTCATTTTTTACAGTCTCTGTATGTCATTTGCATTTTTTAGAAATGCTTAAAGAGGCATATCTAAGACTAAGATAGAAAATTGAATATTCTTGCTATAATAGTTCCAAAATAGCTAATGAAAAATGAATATTCAAATTACTTTATTTTAAGCAAAGTTACTAATAGTTGTAGTTTTGACAAGATGTGTGCATTGATCGTAACCACCGTACTGGCCATTCGACTTCTAGCCGTGCTTCTCCATTTTTAAATTAAATCAGAGTTAATTATGGTCTCGTCATGTTAATAAATGTCTAATTAATAATTTAGATAACTTTCAGGCCTCAAGAAAGACCTGCAATAGGCAGATTTCACTCTTGCATAATGTATGTTTAATCTAAGCTAAACTGTACTCTAATTGATTATTCAACATTTTATTAAGACAATAAAACTAAAGTATTATCAGTAGATAATCTCCAGACTTTGATTCAATCAGACTAAAGACAGGGCCATTCAAAGATTCTTGTCGTTTAAAAAACTATGAAAGTGTCTTGTGGTGATAGGGCTTTTTCAGTTACAGCACTCATCCTATGGAACAACCTCCCAGCAATAATAAAGGAAGCCAGAACATCAGAGTCCTCCTTTAAATCATGCTTGAAGACTCACTTATTTAACTGTGAATACCAAATGTGACAGTGCGGCTCAGTGCCATCAAGTACAACAGTTCTAGATGAGAGGCGCTATATAAATTCATTATTATTATATCTTTGTAAGAATGGCACTATATAAATTCATTATTATTAATATTATATCTTTGTAAGAATGGAACTATATAAATTCATTATTATTATATCTTTGTAAGAATGGAACTATATAAATTGATTATTATTATATCTTTGTAAGAATGGAACTATATAAATTCATTATTATTATATCTTTGTAAGAATGGAATGGAGACTCAGGTTCTATTTCCATTTACTTGTAGAACTAGAAGTTATAGTTTTAAGAGGACAGTTAAACATACATTATGGAAGAGGTAAATCTGCCTATTGCAGGTCTTTCTTTAGGCCTGAAATGTTATATAAACTATTAATTAGACATGAATTAACTGATCCAGGCCAAAATCAACTCTCGATGGCATTGGATTTCTCCGGTATTAAATAGATTAGAACCTTTCAGCCATATTTTGATTTAATCTAAAAATGGAGGAGCGAGACTTAGCTTCGAACAACCAGTACGGTGGATGAAATTATTGCACATCTTCGCTCGCAATAGAGTAATTTGAATGAAATGTTCAAATTATTCATTTTACATGATCTATTTTCAAACTATTATAGCAAGAATGGCTAGCTCTTTATCTAAATCTTACATAATGTATCTTTAAGTAGTTGTCACTATAACAAGTCACTCATGACAGCCTACATTGGCTGTTTTTCCAAAAGCTTATTAATTATTCTCTTGTAATAATTTCTTAAATGAAATATTTCCCATGTATTTACCCACTGTATTTTGTCCCATCGTTTCCAGGACACAGATCATTACATCTTCAAAATTTTAACTGTGGGTCCTCTATAGCTTGTGGACACTCTAGAGGTTACAATTTATATCCGATTTAGATGAAACTTGAAATTAATGTTTATAACCCAAAGAACTTGGTTCCTTTCAATATTCGCACATATCGGACCACAACTTTCTGGGTTATGGCCCTTGAATGTACGAAAAATCACGTTTTTAGCTTGTGGTCCCTCTGTCACAATTTTTATCCGATTTTAAAAAACGTTTAACCCTTGTCGGTGCACGTGGGGTCTCCGTGGACCCCATGTAAATGTTTTTTAGTGTTTTGTAATAACTACTGGGCACTGCTTTCTGAAATTTAGTGACCTTGTCTCCTATAAATTTTTACAGGAAATGTCTCCTATAAATTTATAGCGAAGAGTTCGGTATTCATCTGCTTCCCACATGGAGAGATCTGTTACATGCAAATCAGGCCCAACGCTTGAAGGGAACAAGGGGTCCAATCGGACCCCTAACTTACAACTCACAGTAGGGATTTTGCTAATGTTTTTGCTGCCTGATACCATCTGCATGTTACAAATACCAAAAATTAAATGATGAATTCCAAATATTCAATGGTTTTTATATCAAGCGTGAATTGCCATTTAACCTCTTTATCACATAGTACACAAAGTAACAATGTCACTAAAATGTTTTTGTATAATAATTTAGGTGTTTTTCAGTTGTCAAATATGAATACAAATAAAAACTAAACCCCTGCCTTTAAATTCAGATATATCTGTACGTAAAAACTTTGAATTATAACTGGGGTCCATATGGACCCCTGATACCTGCTATGTGATTCTCACAACGTGCATCGACAAGGGTTAAATATGTCACCTTTACACCCTAATGATGCTTGAATTCGAATTTCATGAAAATCGGACTGAAACTGCCAGAAGAAATGGCAACTCCATGTTCACAAACAGTGTAAAAGTATGTAATACCAAGGTTGTGGACCCTCTAGAAGTCACAATTTTTATCAGATTTTGATGAAACTTAATATATATGTTTATATCTGGAAGATCTCAGTTCCTTTAGATATGTCCATCTCTTGCAAAATGAGGGTGTATCTTGCATGGCAACCGCTTGTTGATAAACTCTAGTAAAATTGGCATATTCTTAAAACTTGAGACATTCCAGCTGCCATATTCATAGCTACTATTTTGTCAAGAAAATACCTATAAAATTTCCTGCCTTTATCACATGATAGTAAAATACATATTTTATCCCTAAATATTTTCAGACCAATGACATAAAAATTTTGCTGAGTGGTCTTTAATTCTATAAATTATAAAAAAAAATCTATGAACTATTTGTTCTCGCATGACAAGAGAAACAGATTGTGCATGCACATACAGATACTACATCATCTACATACTATAAAAATGCACTATATTCGCAAAAATATCTAATCCGTGCATTCATCTTGGACTTGTATTTAAATTATAAAATTAAGCCAAATATTAAGCAAAAATATCAAAATATTTTGTTGATTTCCAACTCTATATAGTGCAGTGATAATAAAAATCTACAAAACAATATTCATAATTTGTTTTATGAAAGTAATGTGAAATAATATTAAAGATATACTGGTATATCACAAATGCACAATCTTAAATTCTATTAGAATACAATTATTGTTTATCACCGAGACAGAGGACACAATTCTATGGAATAAAACTACTGAGACATGGGACACAATTCTATGCAGTCATGTCCATGATGATAGTTTTCCTACTCAGATTTTACACAGGGCGTAATTTCATGGAATACTATTACTGTTTATTAATAAACATAAGAGGTATTCCATGCAATTATAATCAGTTGAAAATTTATTACATAGAATTGTAACTCAGTAATAAACAGTAATTGTATCTGATAGAACTGTAACTCAGTAATTGTATCTGATAAAACTGTTACTCCGTAATTGTATCTGATAAAACAATAATTGTATCTGATAAAACTGTAGTTCAGTAATAAACAGGGCTTTTATTCCATAGAAAAAATATCTTGTGTATTCCCAGTTCAAATGCCATATTAAATGCCATTGTAACAATTCACAAATGCATAGTTGATTAATAATTTAACGTAGGAGATATACTATTCAAAAAAAGTAGGGGATATTTGATTTTGGGGGCATAATACTAAAATATGCAAATGACTACGAAAAAAGTCACTATAGAACCTAACAGAAGAAACATTTCCAGTTACATGTGACGCCCAAACGCACCAATAGCTACCGCATGGAATGCAGGTGATGCTTGGGATCATCATGGGGGTCCAACCCAAGATTTGCACGACTCTGACTTTGAATGTTACAGTCATTGTGGCATTGAATTCCAGGGTGGAAACATCAGTTTAATTGTTTTAGTGACCAGAAAACAAATTTTGATATGCGTCGGCTTACCCAAAATGAAAGGTTACGTGTCCTTGGCATGCTACAGATCGGCACAACACAGGCGGTTGTGGCGCGGACGATGAATGTTTCTCAGTCTGTCATAAGCAGGCTATGGTCCAGATACCGTGATACACAATCTGTACAGGACAGACCACGCTCAGGTCGACCAAGGGCGACAACTCAAGCCCAGGATCGATTTATCCGTACCTTGGCCTTGAGAAATCGTGTCATCACAGCAAATCAGATCAGCGCTCGTCTTCAAACAGACACTGGTGTGAGAGTGAGTGGCCAGACGATTCGGAATCGACTGCATAGGGGTCACCTTCGCGCCCGACGTCCTCGCGTGATCCCTTGTTTGAGAGATCATCACATTCAGACAAGACGTCGTTGGTGTAGGGATCGTCAACACTGGGATAATCGACGCTGGAGCAATGTGATGTTTTCAGATGAGTCAAGGTTCACTGTTGATTTTTTGGACAGACGTAGGAGGGTGTGGCGTCGTCAAAACGAGCGCTTCCAAGACGTTAACGTCATCAGACATGATCGATTTGGGGGTGGTTCTGTTATGGTGTGGGGAGGCATCACTGTTGCTGGAAGAACGGCTTTACATGTTGTTGCAGGGCGTGTTACAGGCCAGTACTACCGGGACAACATCTTGGCAGTCCATGTTGTGCCGTTCGCACGACGTCATGGCCGCCGTTTCATCTTCCAGGATGACAACGCAAGATGTCACAGGGCCAGGATCGTTACAGGTTACCTCCAACAACAGAACATCACCACATTACCTTGGCCAGCACTGAGTCCCGACCTCTCCCCCATCGAGCATGTCTGGGACATGCTTGGATAGAGGTTACGTCAACGTCAACAACGTCCTGCCAATGTCCAAGAACTTGCTGCTGCGTTGCAACAGTAATAAGACAACTGACAAAACGACCTTAGACGTCTCATTAGGAGTATGCCACGTCGGATCAATGCTTGTTTGGCAAACAGAGGAGGATTTACCCGTTACTGACTTGGTTGTGATGCTGTGGTAACTTTGCTGTTTGACCCCGGGTATCATTTTACCCTTATAATGGTCAGTCTGTGCCTGACTTAGTCTAACGATCATTTGGAATAAATCGATGAATGTGAACTTCATTTCATTTTGTCATTTGTTTCTTCGTCAGGTTCATTAGGTGACTTTAATAACACTTAAAAATCAAATATCCCCTACTTTTTTTGAATAGTATAGAATAAAAGAGAATAATAAATATTGTTTGTGTTATTAAAGTTAATATGAAAGTACCGTATATAATATTTGTTTAAAGAAATATATTACACTGAATGATAGAAAGGAATATATGTTATTTCACAACTTTGAGAGAAAAGTAACTATTTTGTAAATAGAAGATATTAATGTTGACACATGTAAAAATATACATCATTATCCAAACAGTGATGTCTATTGTCAGGCTGGTTGGGAAGAAGACCCGACCGGTTGGGTCGTCATTTCAATATGAAATGAAATGAGGTTGAACGTCCTACTGTTTTGCTAATGAAGACAGGCATACACCATACAGTGTGCTTTGAGTATGAGGGAAATCTTGCCCGGGCAGTGGCACTACGGCCTAATCTTTATTAAATTCCAACTGCCAATGATTCTTTTACGTGTATGCCAATGTGTACACAGAAAAATGGTTTTCCCTCATATCCGAACAGCTTGACATGTCCTCCATCTGAACCACTGACAAGAGAAAACTGACTGGGAAATCCTTGGGGATATTTCTTGGCTATCACTGGGATCAAACCCGGGAACTCGGCCTAGTCAGTGAGCTACTGCAACATACTAAACTTACGCTGTCTGTCTACAATTAGCTCCACTTGAGAATTGACACTAAGCTAGTTGACCGACATTTTAATTCCTAAATCGTTGATTTTCGTCGAAACCACACAGTATACTTCGCGAATTTTGAGATGTATTTATTTTGTTTCCATTTAATAAAATAGAAAAGGTTTATTTAATCGTCGTGTGTAGGACAGATGTGGAACGGAGTAGAAACGTATTACAAAATAGTATATCAATTTTTAGATAATGTGGCCATTCAGGGCAGGGATCTATTCTCGGAGTAGATAGCTCTCTGTATGCAGAATGCTACTGCAATACTTACTCAGCTCAGTATTACAAATACAAGATTGTTTAACTTAGTATCTCAAGTTGGCCAATCCCAATGCAATCAAGCAAAAACTGATGTTTAGGCCACAAGAGGTTAAAGCAAAAATAATGTTTCTAATTCTATCTTGGAACAACTCAATGATATTTTGAAGTTTGTGTAAAAAATGTACTAAAGGTATCAGTAAAGACATTTCAGTGCCTGACAAAATAACCGGCACCAGGGTGTGGTGCCAGACAAAGCCTGATAATGTCTGTGACAGGTGCCATATTTACAGACTGGGTGATATTAATAATTTATATTAATTAACAGTAGATACACCACGGTTATGTTATATACTATAATAAGATTAGAAGAGTTGAGCCAAGCAACGACCAAAACATCTAAATAAATATAGAATATAATATCTAATAATATAAGTGCTGAGACTAGGTCCATCGATACCTGTTCGTTTATTTCTTCAACTTCTCGTGATAGAGAACTCCTAGAACTTGAACGAGATATGTTCTGTAACAAAATGTTATCACTAGATATTTGTTGTTAAATATACTTTAAAATTATTAATGAATGAGATAACAAAATGTTGTCGTTAGATATTTGTTATTACAAAAATCTAAAATTATTAATGAATGGGATAACAAAATGTTGTCACTGGATATTTGTTGTTACAAAATTTTAAAATTATTAATGAATTAGATACAGATATTACATAACAAAATGTTGTCATTGGATACTGGTTGTTACAAAATTTTAAAATTATTAATGAATTGGCTACAGATATTCCATAACAAAATGTTTTTAATTGGATACTGGTTGTTACAAAATTTTAAAATTATTAATGAACGGAATACAGATCTTCCATAACAAAATGAATGGAATATAGAAGTTCTGTAACAAAATATTACTATATATTTGTTGTAACAATTTTTGGAATATTATATAATATTAATAGGTCACAAAAGTTTTGAGTTTATGTTTATTACATTTAATTTATAGTGCTCATTTCTGCAATAGTTGCATTCAATTTGTGATGTACAATTAATAAAATATAATCATTTAGTATATACATAAATATACTAAACTAATAAATAATCATTAGTTAGGTCCTTTTAAAAAGAGATACATTTTCAGTGATTTCTTGAAATTATCTTGTTGTGAAGTTACCGATTTTTTAAATCATTCCATAGCCATTGACTGGAAATACTAAAGGACATATCTGAAAATGTTTTACATTTTGTAGATGGAACGAATAATAATTAACTGATTGAAGATCATGTTGAATATCCGTTAGAATTGGCATTTGAGTAGTCTCGAGACTCTTGAATTATTTTAAAACAAGACCCAATTATCTACAATACATGCACTTGTACCTGGATACTTCTCTCATCTTAAATGATCTTTTTTTTTAAAATTCTAATTTAACTTTAAAATGAGCAATGTTTGTAAAGGAAATGATCTTTGAATCGTTTGAAAGTGGAAATTAACTTGGCTATTTCCATTGCGGATGTGCATTACAACTGTAGCCAATTAAAAGCACATGTCAAAGTCAAAACTGAGCAATATTTTAATTTTAAATAGACTAATGTTATTATGAAATAAAGTAATCAAAGTATAAAAAAAAGTCCAAGACTGGACTGGTTTGTACGAGAAAAACAGCACAATTATTACTTACTACATATTTACAGTATTTGTCAAAAGAAAGATAAAGATGCCAATGTAACCTTAAAATTGTCATATTAATTGATGGATTTGAATAATTTTTGGACCAAATTTTTAAACAATGAAAACACTACATATATAAAGAAGAGAGAGAGAAATCGGGTTTAAAGTCCACTTGACACAAACTAGGTCATTATTTCAATAATTCGCTTGCTAACCATTCGGCCATCGGACCCCCCTATATATAAAGAAGGCAATATGGGGCAATTTTAACTCCTAATCTTTTACAATTAAATATCAAAATAATATCTATAATTAATAAGTGAATGGAAAATTATTATTTGCATAAAAATCGGCCTGATAAAATCTAAACATTTAACGCAAATATGTCTGTACCTTTACATTTGAAAAGAAATGATATGGGGTGTAACGTCCTATTTTTCTCAACCAACTAGGCTAATGACGACTGCACTTTGAATTTAAAATGAAATGACATTTAACATCCTACTTTTCTGCACCAACTGGGCTAATGAAGACTAGACTATAAATTTGATAAAGTCTTATCTCTAACATCAGATTCTAGTGTTAATTAATAATGGTTAATTGCTTCGAAAACTGAAAATAAACTTGTGTGAAATATTTGTTCGTAGTGAAGATAATCTATGTAGTTAACTACATGCACAATTTCATAGGAAAATTGTTCAGAAAATAAACAGACAAGTAACAAAATAAAGTCCATACACGAAAAGCCAAAAATATAAAATCAATCAAAATACAAAAAAAACAAAAAATCTATTTAAATATTGTTTTGTATCAGAATACATGCACACTAAAACACAACAACCATTCAATTCTCTATATAACCCCAATCATAGAATTCCATTTCACCATTTTAGGTAAAGAGGAATAAGAAGTTTAATAATACTTTTAGAGTTACCTGACTTTGTTGTGGAATATCTAATTTATTTCCCCCAACAGAGGACGCTTGCCCAGAAGCTGTAATGAAAAAATTTATATCATGATGAGTTTTGTGCAAATTCTGGGTCCTTATTTACAGAAATTAAACTAAGGGTGCAATGGTTTCATTAATCATTATTGTGTTCCATTCTCTGTCCCACCATACTTATTGTAGCTATTGTTTTGCTGTTTTGCAGAAAACAATGCTGCTGAGGTATTGTCTTGATGGTAAAACTTACCAGAGAGAGAGAGAGAGAGAGAGAGAAAGACAGAGAGAGAGAGAGAGTTTGTCCACTCGACATACGCTAGGTCATTTCCGGACTAACATATGTTTTATTTTATTTCAATAACTCGCTTTTGTGCTAAGGGGTCTTTAGCAGTGGGAGGAAACCTGAGAAAACCCACAAAGTTAGACAGGCGACCCTACTCTTTGTCAGGTACACCCGGGGAATTGAATTATGATGTAAGGCACGCGAGCTAACGATTTGGCCATCCAACTCCCCCACCACTTAAGGTGTTATATATATTGGTATTTGATGGTAAAACTTACCACTTAAAGGGTTATATATATATATTGGTATTTGATGGTGAAACTTGCCACTTAAATGGTTATATATATTGGTATTTGATGGTAAAACTTACCACTTAAAGGGTTATATATATTGGTATTAGCAGCTGTTTGTGGTACTGTGTTTAATAAAGTATTAGGTAATGGTGAAGGACTTGATTTAGGGTTTAAAACATCTACATATTGATTTCTAGCACCTGAAATATCAGACAAGGTACATAATGAAGACATAAACTCAGTCTAAACTACAGACTCTATAATTAAGACATAAATTCAGTCTAAACTACAGACTCTATAATCAAGACAAGAAACCCCTGGAGAGCTGGACCATATCCCTGAAAACAAATATCGCAGTATTTTCTGAAAATCTTCTGATATTATCAGTATATGGAGATATTTTATAAAGATAGGTTGCCAGGCAACGAAACATACGCCCACAGCAGCTAAATCGTCCGCGCAGTCACATGTATTGTCGCATATTTTTACTTTTTTTGGTAATGAAACATTTATAATACACTAAAATCTGATAACTCTGACAGTAATTATCGGAAATTGCTGAAAATCAATAGGCTTCTTCATCTCATGACCTTAAACACTGTGTATAAATTTCAAGTCAATCGGATTTTAACTTTAGCCTCTAGAGCGTCCACAAGCTATTGTGGACGCCGGATCGCCGGACCGACCGACAGGGGCGACAACAATATACGACCACATTTCAATGTGGGCATATAAAAAGTCAACAATTTCAGTTTATCGCCCTTTAACCATAAATAAACATGGACATGCCCTTTGAGTATTCACTTGACACATAGTAGTCAATAATATCAAACAAATGAAGTATAAATACAGTATTTACAAAAAAAATGATCAGGTTCGTACACATAACTAGCCACTAAGACTTGCTAAGAATATGTTCCAGAAACCCCAGCATACATAGACCAGAATTTTGAAGGAAGTCTTGGAGGCACTTGAAGTGATTTTTGTGTCCCTGCGGACCTAAAAGTGTACGACCAATGTGAAGTCAAAATAGACATTAACTTATACTTACTTTTAAATGTCAAACTGTCATGTTTACAAGTACATTGATAGAAATTCGCAAATAATATTAAATTTATAAATATTCATTTATAAATTATCAACATAGGATAGTGGCTTTTCAGGCCATCTATACCTCCCACCAGCAGCAAAGTCATCGATGCTAATTCTAATATCATTGTCAACAAATTCCACAGAGCAAGTTTTAAAATATTGTATTATGAGCTCTGTACTCAACTTTAAAAGTAAAATATGAATTAAAAAATAACCCTGCAAAACATGTTCGTATTTTACGATCCTAAAGTTTTGGAAATACAGTATGTTTCATCATAATGTCCCAACGTACAATCTCAAGGTTTAAAACATTCCACCAAGTTTGAACGAATTGAGCACATTTTCTGCATTGTGATCACAATCCTTAACAATTAAAATGCGAATGAAAACATAGCTCCATAAAATGTGTTCAAAATTTAAAATCTGGAAATATGGAAATTTGACAGTGTTCTTTCTTACATGTAAATGAAAAGAATCCTTTGAAATTTGTGATGGAAAATTCCAAATATTGATAAGGTTTCTTGTTACGTCCATTTGTAAATGTCTAGTCCCATGTTTAAATGTAAATGGAAAGATAACACTAAAAATTTGGAAACAGGAAATTTTTTATGTCTGCAGGGACAATGCTTAGGTTCGAAAAAATTATCAATAAGAACTGTAGAGTATTCATAAAAAAACTAGAGACGAAAGTGACAACAATATACCTCCACATCAAATATGAGCATATTAAAAAAATTTCCAAGCTATTCTAGCATTCTACACCCAACTAAATAATAAAACCACAAACAATTTTAGCTCTAAGAATAATAATTTCACCATTACCAAATGAATGAATGAATGAATGAATGAATGAACTAGACTCCCACAATATAAAATATTTACATACCAGCATCCCCTGTTAATATCGGTAAATTAAGATTTCATTAGCAGGGTTTAATTCAAGTATATAGTTGATATAAAGGCATCATAAATAGCCATAATAAGGGCTAGGGAAAAAGTCAGACATTTCCAACTACATGAGAGAAGGCCTAAGCTATTCTTATGAAAGTATTATGATTGGAACTAAGTTTTGAGTTAAAAAAAACTTCCAATACAGAGAGAGACAGAGAGAAATGAGGTTTAACATCCACTCGACACAAACTAGGTCATTTTGGAACTAATACATGGTTTTAAATCTCAGCCAATTAAGCTTGAGTATTCTTCAATATTAGAGAGAGAGAGAGAGAGAGAGGTTAATGTCCACTCGACACAAACTAGGTCATTTCGGGACTAAAACATGGTTCGATCCCTGCATTGGCCGAGAAAGTTCATCCAGATTTTCCGCTAGCCTGGAGGTCGGGTGTTCGATCCCTGCATTGGCCGAGAAAGTTCATCCAGATTTTCCGGCGTGGTTCTCCTTTGTCAGTGATGCAGGACGGAGGGGCTGACAAGGAAAGCTGTCTAGTCGTTCGGATGGTACGAAAAACCGAGGTCCCGTGTACACATTGGCGTGCACGTAAAAGATCCCTTGGTAGTTGGAATTCGATATAAGAGTAGGCCGTAGTGCCGCTGTCCGGGCAAAATTTCCCTCATAGCACACTGTATGGCGTATGCCCGTCTTCATTAGCCCAGGTTAGGAGCAGAACAGTAGGACGTTAAACTCCATTTCATTTCATTTCATTTCATTTCCTATGATACAGCGCGCACGTGCTAACCATTCGGCTATCCTTTCCCCCCCACCTTCAATATTAGACCTTTTATATAATATATATGTATGTGTGTGACATTTTAACTATGTATATACACCCCTATATCTTTATTATGTATATATATTTTTCAGGGTGAAGGGTTTTACATAGGCTAAGCCGGTTCCCCCAATCTCATTCAGATATCATGAATAAAAATAAAAAAATACAATGTATTAACTGTGTAACTTACCTCCAGCACTCTTGAGTGAGAATCTATTTGTACCTCCAGAGCCTCCCATCATTGGTGGTGCGGAACCATTCATTCCACTACTTTTACCTGCAATTAAATAATTCAATTAGTCAAATAGATAATATCTTTTTATTTATAGAATATACTGAATTCTTAAATCTGCTGATTGTCATTTGTGGGATATTGAATGAATGAAATGGGGTTTAACGTCCTATTGTTCTGCTCCAACTGAGCTAATGAAGATGGGCATGTGTGCTATGAGGGAAATTTTGCCCGGACAGCAGCACTACGGCCTACTCTTATATCAAATTCCAACTGTCAAGGGATCTTTTACGTGCACACCAATGTGTACATGGTTTATAGAATATACCGAATTCTTAATTCTCTAAAAGGAATATCCGTCCAAAAATGACTCAATTCAGAATTGATGAAATGAAAATTTTGCAACATACATCCTCTGCAGATTATATATATAGAGAGAGAAATGGGGTTTAGGTAAATTCGGGACTAACATACAGTTCAATTTTTTTTCAATAATTCGCTTGCACTTAGGGGTCTTTAGCAGTGGAAGGAAACTAGAGGACCTGGAGAAAACCCTTGAGGTTGGACAAGTGACCCTACTCCTTGTTACCTTCAAGACTGGGATCAAAACCACAGCACTTGACTCAGTGACAGACCTTATGATCTACAGTACACACATTAAACCACCCAAGCCTCTCCCAAACAGAAATGTAGAGATGTATCATTTTGAACATTTAAACAATAAAAATTTACCAGTACCCATTAAATCTGTATCTTTAGGAGGTGGTGCAGCAGGTGCTGATGACTCTTCAGCATTGGGATTGAACCATTTCTTATTAACAGGATCCCAAACAATCTAAAAAAAAAAAAAAAAACAAAACAAGTGTTATTTTATTCTTTGTTGTACAATAGACGGAAAATCTTCCTTTGTTTTTTTCATTGAATAAGCAGATTGTTTTCCCTCTAGTAGATTGGGTGGAGCTTAAGCGTGCAATAACTAGACATGTTCAATGTTATTGCACACTTTTGCTGGTTTACACTAGTTTTAGTAGAAATCATATAGAGAAGTGGGGTAGGTTTTCTGTGCAATAACAACAAGCATGTTGAGCAGGTGTAAAATTTCCATCATCAATTCTAGATCAAAAAGTCAACAAAAATTGCTATGCAAAAGGGAGAATGAGAGAACTCCCATAGACATTTGTCTATCATAAAATCAGGGGAGACAATTACTTGTCATAGCCAATAAGATAACTCTTGACATTTCCTAATACAATCTAGCCAAAAAATAATAGTTCACTCAGGCTGACCTTAAAAATATCTTTGTTTCGCCTAACGCGACCGACTAACTAAAACCACCCCCGACTTAAATTATTTTATTGCACTTTTCCGCGATCTTTTTATTTTATTTTGTGTGTCAACCTGAAATATATCACGAGAGTTATTTCCCTTTACTATGGCTATGGTTTGATTCATTATTGAAACTGGTTGATCAAGACGAAAGCATCATAGGTGTCGCTTCTCAACAAAATGGTTGCAGACGAAAGCACGTCCATTCCCACGAAATGATTCTGCCTCTATTTTCTTCAATATTCGTTTTCGAGAAAAATGAAGGCACAACCCGCACGATCGTTATAAAACGTGTTGAGGGAGTTTCAAACGTCAGTTTGTGGCAATTCGTGTGCGAGTCGTGCATCACAAAAAATCCCGATGTCATTGATTTGTTTGCCAATAAAAGAAGACGAATGTTTGCACCCGGAAAATTATCAAGCTGTCAAATTAGCTCTTAAAAAAAAATCTGAAAAAAAAAACCGACCTACCGACCCTTCTCCTCGATTGTGGGTCGGGTTTGGTGAAACAAAGATATTTTTAAGGTCAGCCTCAAATATATCATATCTAAAACGTATGATAACGTCTTTGAGTGGCATTTAGCATTTGACACATGTAATAAACACTCAAAACTGAAACATTTTGGTGACATAAGTTTTAGTGTAGTTGCTCCTAAATTGTGGAATGATTTACCACTAAAAATCCGAAACAGTGAAACTTTGACTACTTTCAAATCACAGCTGAAGACTCTGCACTTATTTCGAGAATACTACGAGAATTAGACTTTCTATTCACTGTGTATATAAATATTGTCTCATAGCGCTTTGAGCATGCTTTTGGATGGATTTAGTGCTCTACAAATGTACACAAAAACATAATATGGAACACAATCATTTGCTTGATAATGTTGAGAGAACCTTCAACAAGAGAGAGAGAGAGAGAGAGATGGGGTTTAACGTCCACTCGACACAAACTAGGTCATTTCGGGACTAACATATGGTTTAATTTTTTATTTATTTCAATAATTCGCTTGCGCGTAGGGGTCTTTAGCAGTGGGGGGAAACCGGAGGACCCGGAGAAAACCCACGAGGTTGGACAGGCGACACTACTCCTTGTCACGTACAACCGGGGATGAACCCTCAACAAAACATCGCTTTAATTAAAATAGTAATAGTGTTCCATACTATATTTTTGTGTTTATAAATGATCATTGAAGTAAAATCTGACCTGTGGATCTTTATCATCAGGTAACTTCATTTCTTTTTCTTTTGTTTTTTTACGCCACCCAAACATATTAAACCAACCACCACCTCCATTTTCACCCTTAACAAATAGATCACAATTATTATTATTTTATTTTCTGTAGATTAAAATCCCGTTTGAAGAACATTTATTTCATTTTTAAGATGAATCAACTTTTTTTTAAGACCTCATTTAGTATCACAATGATTTGTCGTGTTTGAATACGGAAGTGTTCTATAGGTAATCAGTGTACATTATTGTGGTATCTCCAAGACAAGCACTTTTTTGCTTAGTGATTCGATTACGAGAGAGAGAGAGAAATCGGGATTTATGTCCACTCGACACAGTTTAAACTGGACACAGGTACAAATTAGATGATTTTGGGTGATTTTAAATGATTTTTATGAATTTTTAAACAAAGATTTGATATTAAACAAATGTGAATGAAATTAGTGCTAGATACACAAGATTAAATGATACTGGGTTACATACAGTGCATTAAAGATACATTCCCCCGTACAAACTGGGTGATTTAATGGTATATATGGACTAAAAACATATTCAAACTAATTAATTTGTCATAATTATGCTTCAAATCCTTCTCAAACATTGTAATTACAAAGGAATGCCCTGCTATTAAAATTCGATCAAACCAGGTCATCAGAGGAAAATTCATTGCATACATAAGACGATGTTGTCTTTAATCGCTTACTATTTATTACAAATATCAAATCCTAATTACATTCTCGGATTATTCACTACCCACGTCTTTTTCCGTCATTTTTATCTCAGAAAGTGTTGTACGTCTAACCCTTCATAAAATTTATCAACTTGTACATCAAGCGCTCAATGTCAAAGGTCACACGCGTGCAGAAATTCTTAATCGTCGGGCTGTTGATTAGGGGAACCCTTACATTTTTGTCCTGTATACGCTCCATGAGTGTTTTGTGGGGAATCCAAGATTTTTCTAGTAAGATTGGATATCTCTACTTTCCATATATACTAGAATTGCCATACTTTTATTGGAAATAACCACCTGATAAATACTTTTCTGGGAACCCATCTTTAAGGACACTGAATTTAAGTTTCCTTTAGGATGATTGAAACTATCTTATTCTTGTTTATTCAAATCTATAAAACACCTTCCTGGTACTCACCTGTTTTGGTTCCTGTTTTTTCTTATCTTGTGTAGAATTAGGTTTAGGTTTAGGATTAGCAGCTGATATGCTACCAGTACTACTACCAGATGTTGTACGCTGACGTGGAGGCATTCCAGTAGAACTATTAGAATTTGTCCGTACACGGGATGGAGGAGCTACAATCTGTAACAGGAATATTACCCAAAATGTAACAGGAATATTACCCAAAATGTAACAGGAATATTACCCAAAATGTAACAGAAATATTACCCAAAATGTAACAGAAATATTACCCGAAATGTAACAGAAATATTACCTAAATGTAACCAGAATATTACCCAAAATATTTCCATACTTCACTTGTGCGTTGGGGTCTTTAGCAGTGGGAGGAAACCGGAGGACTCGTAAAAACCCCACACGGTTGGACAGCTTCCCTACTCCTTGTCACTTTTAAGCTGGGAATCGAAACCAAGCCACTTGACTCAATGACAAACCTTATGATATGAAGCAAAAATGCCTTAGACAATTTGGCCATCCAACCTCCCGAAATAGTGGCTTTAACAGGTTGGTGTTTCATAAGACAATCTCAAAACACAAAACACATGAGGTTGGACAGTTACCCTACCCCTCGTCATGTACAAGCTGGAAATCGAAATCATCCCACTTGTGCTGTGAAGGAAATTTTGCCTGGCTAGCCTACTCTTATTTCAAATTGTCAAGAGTTATTTTACGTACACATCAAGGTGAACACAGTACCTAGGTTTTAAACAGTTACAGGTACAATAGTCTCATGATATAACCTACTTTTACGTGCAAGCCAAGGTATACACAGTAGGCCTATCTAGGTATTGTACTGTTACAGGTAGAAGAGTTTTATAATATAACCTACTTTTACGTGCAAGCCAAGGTATACACAGTAGGCCTATCTAGGTATTGAACTGTTACAGGTAGAAGAGTTTTATAATATAACCTACTTTTACGTGCATGCCAAGGTATACACAGTAGGCCTATCTAGGTATTGAACTGTTACAGGTAGAAGAGTTTTATAATATAACCTACTTTTACGTGCATGCCAAGGTATATACAGGTATCTAGGCATTGAACTGTTACAGATAGAATAGTATTATGACGGTTACAGGTAAAAGAGTTTTATCATATAACCTACTTTTTGAACAGTAGCAGCACTAAAATAATCAAATGAAGACGTCTGTGGAGCAAGAGAATCAACTTCTTCTCCCTCCTCTTCGTAATCATCATCATCATCTTCTTCTGTAGGCTGGCTTTGTGTAGATGCTATACTATTTCTAGCTTGATTATAAAAACCTTGCTGACCCTCTACACCTGTCTGTTGGTAATAACCTGTAGGTAAAAAAGAAAAGGATTCAATCTGACGTTGATATTGTGGTAATTAACCAGGTCATTTTCAGATTAACAAACATACAACACATCAGGAACCATGGTGGCTCGGTGAGCATGGTGCTGGCTCAAAAACCAGGGCGTCCCAGGTTCAATTCCAGTGTTGAAAATGAAATGAAATGGAGTTTAACATCCTGCTGTTCTGACCCAACTGGGATAATGAAGACGAGCATAGGACATGCTGTAGGGCTGGCAATTGACACCCATTTTGAATATCGATATCGGCAACCATTTCGGCAATATCGATATCGATATATCGGAAAATTTAAAGTTGAAAGAAATAACTGTTTGTATGCTAATAATGCATTTAAATGTGTTATTGATCAAATAAAAAAAGAACCTATGATCCTCAAACTATGTTTTCTTAATGTTTGTTTCATTGACAGCTTATCTTATAGTATTATTAACAAAATAGTAATCGCAGCTTCGCGCTTGCCATCATTGCTGTTGACAATTTTCCTCGGCTGCTTATAACAATAAATAAATTTGTATTAAAATCGAGTTATTTCCCCTGAACAATTAATTAATTATTCATTGTCATTTCCCCTGAACAATTAATTAATTATTCATTGTCACTGTTGTAAACGACCCCAAAAATTTTTGTCTAGTGTGTGGTTTTTAGTTTTAGCGTGTTTTGAATTAAATGACGGCGATTATTTGACACAAACCATTCCGTTAATTTCATTTTATTGAAGCTCCTTTATTTTTTATACGAGTATCGATATCAAGAATTTGAATATCGATATCGATATTTTTCCGTAGTCAATAAATATGCAGTGGGCTATAAGGGAAATTTTGCTCGGACAGCAGCACTATGGTCTACTCTTATATTGAATTCCAACTGCCAAGGGATCTTTTACATGCACACCAATGTGCCAGGCCTCCACGTCCTGCACCACTGACAAGGGGAAACCACACCGAAAAAACCTGATGGACTTTCTCGGCCAACACCAGGATCGAACCCACGGCATCTAGACTAGCGAGATAGAGTCTTACTCACTTAGCCAACTTGGCTCCTTCAACCTTAAAAAGTTTGATAATGCCATACCTTGTTGTCCATATGCTGTATTCTGATTGGCTGTATTATAGTTATTAGCCTGGTTTGTATTGGCTGCGTCTGTAGGTTGTTGATGATTTGAATCTGCTGCATATCCCTGTTGTTGGTCTGAAATTAACAAATAACATATTCAGCTCTCAAGGCTGACTGAACTGTGAGAGAAATATATTTATATGTCACTCTGAAAGGAGGCGGGATTACGTGGCTAAGTGGGTAAGATGCTGGCCTGCTAGCCTTGAGGTTGGGTGTTCGATCCCTGCATTTGCCGAGAAAGTTCATCCAGATTTTCCGGTGTGGTTCCCCCTTGTCAGTGATGCAGGACAGAGGACCTGACAAGGACAGCTGTCTAGTCCTTCAGATGAGACAAAAAAAACGAGGTCCCGTGTATACATTGGAATGCACGTAAAAGATCCCTTGGCAGTTGGAATTCGATATAAGAGTAGACCATAGTGCCGCTGTCCGGGCAAAATTTCCCTCACAGCACACTGTATGGCGTATGCCCTTCTTCATTAGCCCAGCATAGGAGCAGAACAGTAGGAATTAAACCCCATTTCATTTCACTGAAAGGAGGTGAGTCTTTAACTCAATATCATCTACAGTCTTCGACATTGCAAACACGACTTACTGGTCAATTTAAATCAACATTTATGTTGTTATCTTACTGTGAAAAGATGGGCTTCTTATATTTAAGACACAATGGAAATTTTAAATTTGGCACACGAATCGATTGTCAGAATGCTTTTGAGTGCCATTTGTAATGAAGCAACATGATGAACTAGGCTAAACATAGACTCCAAAGACTGCCGTTAAATTTGTACTCTTCACGTATTTCACCGAACATAACTGATTAGAAATTACAGGAAAAACAGAATCGATTGAATGAAAATCACTTTATATATATCCATATTACATTATTATATATGTTGCGACCCATTTGTGCCAATTTCTAGGTGCCAAAGAATACAGATTTAGCTCCTTTAACCATATGATTGCTGAAAGATATTTCGAAGTGTTTTATGACGCGACAAATCTACTCATACATCCTTTGTTACCAGGACAGACTTTTTTCAACTTTTTACTTACAAATGAATGAAATAAAATGGGGTTTAACGTTCTACTCTTCTGCTCCGACTGGGCTAATGTAGACTGACATACACCATGCAGTGTGCTATGAGGGAAATTTTGACCGGAAAGCATCGCTATGGCCAACTCTTATATCGAATTCCAACTGTCATGGCTTCTTTTGCGTCGCGCCTATGTGTACACAGGACCATGTTTTTTTCGTATTAACCGAACAACCAATTAAAAAAAAAAATGGATCAGGCTACAAACTTACTATATTGACTCCATTGTTGATTATAGGCCTGTAACTGTCCTAAATAATCAGCTGGAGTTGTATCAACTTTATCATCTGTCGCAGGCTTATCTGTCTGTACCTGATTGGTGGTTTCTGTTTGTTGATATTGACCTTGAACCTGTTGGTACTGTCCTTGACCTTGTTGGTACTGCCCTTGAACTTGTTGGTACTGCCCCTGATCTTGTTGGTACTGTCCTTGACCTTGTTGATAGTAACCTTGAGTCTGATCATATTGACCTTGGTTATATTGTTGTTGATAATTGGGGTCTGTGTAGGTACTACCGTCTGGCTGTGAATAATTCTGGTACTGTGCAGCACCAAAATTAGGTGTGTTACTTGTGTATTCTGCAACCTCTCCACTATCACTGCTGTTTGTGGTTCCACCAAATCCAGCTGGTGTGGCAGATCCAGATATCGGTTGAATACTGCCATCCTGAAATCAAAGAACAATCTTGTTACACGAGATATACTGTTTAAAAATATAGAAATTTAAGTTTTTAATGGGGTCTTCAAAAATTAAAAAAAAATTGGAAAGAAATTGCAAAATCCAGGGAAAACTTGGTATGAGCCCTCCTTAGGCAAATGATACCACCCCAACCCACACCCTTCCTCCATGAAGCCACATGCGTCAGTACAAGAGCTGATGTGTCCGGTACAAAGGCATATGAATCATGAGTCACCACCATGATTCATCAGATTGTTTTATGCATCGGCCAAATCCTATTCAACAAAAGGTGACTACATTTGTTTTCTCTTTTGTGAACAGAGGGAGGGAGAGAGAAATGGGATTTAACGTCCACTCAACACAAACTAGGTCATTTCGGGACTAACATATAGTTCAATTTTATTTCAATAATTTGATTGTGCGTAGGTGTCTTTAGCAGTGGAAGGAAACCGGAGGACCCAGAGAAAAGCCACAAGGTTGGACAGGCAGCCCTACTCCTTGTCATGTACAACTGGGAATCGAAACCCTGCCAGTTGACTCAATGACAGACCTTATGATACAGCGCGCACGCGCTAACCATTCGGCCATCCAACCCCCTCCCCCCCCCCACCTTTTTTTTGGAACAGACATGATGGGTGATGAAACATTCAAATCCTGTACTTTTCTATGCATCGTTTCTTTCAAACCACATTTTTGCCGCTTGAAAAAGAAATAGACTCCTTGATTAACTACGAGCCCAAAGGATCAGCTTCAGAACAAATTCATTGTATACTTACATCATAACCCTGACAAATTATCGCTAGATTTTGTAACCAATCAGGATCAGCCATATCCTCTCCTTCATGTTGACGAGAAGGATCGCAATATTTTAAACGATCAGCAAGCTGTAATATAAACCAGATATCACTATAGTTACAACAAGATAGATAGTAGATAATGTTATTGTGATACATGTGTCAGACTTATTAATTGGGACTATCGGACACACGGGAAACGGAAGTGACAAATATAGGGGAACAGTCCTGGGGGCTAGCCGTAAGCGTCCACTGCGCTGTACAGTCCTGGGCCTGTCACTATAAGATTGGTATCGTTTAATATGGTTGTTTTAGCGCGAATAACGATGCATACAGTTTAATTTCAAAACATCGTTTGATAATTGATAATAACGGTTGAAAATTACAAAAATCGTTTAATTAGTACTATCGTTTAATTTTATGGTACACCGTTGAATTTCTCCGAGAGGTGTTTAGAAATGGGGTATCCGTTTACTTATCTAATGGGTTTAATTACTAGCCGAGCACTTTAATTTCCCGAGACGCGTAAAAAATTAACACCCGATGAATTTATCTACAGGGTTTAATTATTAGACAAAGCGTTTAATTTCCCGCAAGTCGTTTATCCGATTGTTTATTTTGATTTCGATTATTTACGTATGAATTGCGAATATCTATGACTTTGTGTTGTACGTGTATTTTCAAAATAACCATCGGATGACTAAAAAGTGAATTGCTCACAATGGCGTGTATACACAGACCCTTTCTGTAATTAATGTGTATGGGGATATAGATTCAGATAAATATCTAATAATTATTTAATCCCTGTTTTAACTAATCACAATCTAAAATATTGCACCATATATACACAACATGTTATTGTCTGCGATATCGCCTCAGTGGAAGCGGGTGGTAAATAAAGCGATCTCAAACACTTAAATATATCCGTGGCGCCTTAAATAAACCAACATTCCCAACTTCTAACAGGTTCCATTGATTTATCATTTATTTTATGACAGTTTAGACCACAATGTGTTACGATTCGCATTATGGTATTCTAAGCTGATTCTTATACGGAATTCGAGGTGCAATGATATAAATTTGGATTTGAGTGGACGAGTTAACACAATTATACATGTATGTGACCGTAAGCTTATTCTCGGTCTTTTTCATTTTGATTTTAATATTTTATCAAGAAAAACATACATGTAACAACTTTTGGTCAGGTATCACAGCTTTATAACCATTTAATGATTTATTTCTGTATTAATTTTATACTAATTTGAGAAAACCATTGGTTGTTAAAGAATTATCATACTTTTCCCGGGAACTGATTTTTTTATCATTTACTATAATGTTTTTATTACATCATATATACAAGAATTTCCATAATTGTTATCGGTATATAAAGTTTCATACATCTCACTCAGTTAATCATTTTTTTATCAATCCATAGCAATTAATTAAGTATTTAACATTTTATTTAATATCGGATTATGTATGTAAATACAACCGAACTCTCACTTAGCTAATTAAATGAAGCAATCCAAACAATGCGTAATTACTTGAGATTTTTTTATGTTTTTGTTTAAGAATTTTCATGCAATTGAGAATTATATTTACGCATGGTGTAATCGTTGTACTGCAGTCAAGTGTTTACGTAACATCAAGGCAGTATTCATTGAAGCATATTTCCTGTTGATACTGTTTGACCCGCATGAAAATGGGTGACAGCTTGTCTATAGAGATTTTGGCGCCAGTGAGAAGTCTCATGAGATTATCGTCGTTCAACATTACATTGCGGGGTTGACTTCGATCTCTTCCTGTGGCGTCTACAAGTGGAAGTTTATTCATTTGTGATTACCTGGGATGTGTGTGACTTGTCTACGATATCACCGATTTTTCATGTATTTGTCAATAGCGGAATTACTATTTTGAATGGATAATGGATAATAATACTACGACCACAGTAAGGCGAGCATCGATGGTTGTGCATTTTCTTTTTATATTCACCTTTTCTATTTGTAATTCATACGTAAATAATCGAAATCAAAATAAACGATCGGATAAACGACTTGCGGGAAATTAAACGCTTCGTCTAATATTTAAACCCTGTAGATAAATTCATCGGGTGTTAATTTTTTTACGCGTCTCGGGAAATTAAAGTGCTCGGCTAGTAATTAAACCCATTAGATAAGTAAACGGATCCCCCATTTCTAAACAGCTCTCAGAGAAATTCAACGGTGTACTAATTAAACGATTTTTGTAATTTTCAAGCGTTATTATCAATTATCAAACGATGTTTTGAAATTAAACTGTATGCATCGTTATTCGCGCTAAAACAACCATATTAAACGATACCAATCTTATAGTGTGTAGTGATACAGACTTCACTCAAAATTAAGACAAACAATCAGGAATATAACCCAGAGAAAAACATTGTGTGTACCAGCACAAGTCATGATCTGCTATATGCCACATGAAATATGAAAGTAAGCATATTGAAGTAAAAATTACCTATACGTTATTACAACACATTCTTGTTTGATATACAGAAGACAACTTCATGATTTAGTATGACAACTGAACTCCACTGCTGCGCACACACGTAACTCATTACTATTCATATATACAAAGGTCATGAATACTCAACATATATATCATACCTGATATAAAGATTTTGCAAATGGTGATTGATAATAAGCTGGACTACGTAGTACATTTCGACTAATAACTTCACAATAATGTAAAGCTTCTTGAGAGAAACCATACTCCGCTAGACGACATGCATACAGAAATTTGAAAACCTGCAAAATATAACCATTATATATCTTAACTTTTCCACTTTTTTTATTTAAATCTTTTGCACTAGAACTGCCTTACATTGCACCCTCTTGTGCCTAAAATCATCCGAGTCTCATGAATAGCTATGAACTATTTAAAGTCTGTATGCTAGAGAGCAACGGGGGGTGGGTGGCCGTTGAATCTTGTGATCCAGTGATGGGGTGCAACGCAGTTAATGAAATGGGGTTTAACATCCTACTGCTCCTGCTGGGCTAATGTAAACCGGCATATGCCATGCCATGCGCTATGCCCCGACAGCGGCATTATGGTGAATTTTAAATTCCAACTGTCAAGGTTTTTTTTTACATTCATGACAATGTGTACAAGGGGCCTTGATTTTTCATCCCATCCGAACAATTATACCTTGTTCCTTGTCAGGCCCTTCATCCTACACCACTGACATGGAGCGAAACCATACTGGAAAATCTTGATGAACTTTCTAGGCCAATGCAAAGATCGAACAGGGGACCTCCAGGTTAGTGAGCCAACATCCTACCAACTGAGCCACAGTGGCTTTCCCCCCCAACGTAATTAAGTTATTGATGTATTAAAACAAACCTGTAAATGCGGTAATACAAATTTGGCGTTTCCTAGTGATTGAGCGTATTCATATATTTCTGTACACTGAATGGCTTGGTTCGTGGCAAATTCTTTTAAACTTAAACTGAAAAATACAGAAAAAATCAACATAACAATAAACACTGTGACATTTAAAAATAAATATACAGTCACATCTGATTTTTGATAAAAACTGGCTCGGAATGTATCCATTATCAGGATTAGTGGCCTATTATAGGCTCTGTCGTCTGCCAGAAATGTGCCGTTTATTCACATGTCAGATGACAGAGACCTCTTTGGAACTAGTTGTAGGCTTTAAATTAAAAGAGAAAGAGAGAGAGAGAGGGAGAGAGAGAGAGAGAGAGAGAGAGAGAGAGGGGGGTTTAATGTCCACTCGACACAAACTAGGTAATTTTGAGACTAACACATGGTTCAATTTTATTTCAATAATTCGCTTGCGTGTAGGAGTCTTTAGCAGTGGCTAAGTGGGTAAGACGCCGGTTCGCTAGCCTGGAGGTTGGGTGTTCGATCCCTGCGTTGGCCGAGAAAGTTCATCCAAATTTTCCGGGGTGTTTCAACATTGTCAGTGATGCAGGGCCTGACAAGACAACTGTCTTAGTCACTCGGAAGGGACTAAAACCCAAGGTCCTGTGTATAGCGTGCACATAAAGATCTCCTGACAGTTAGAATTCGATATAAGAGTAGGCCGTAGTGACGCTGTCCGGGCAAAATTTCCCTCATAGCACACTGTATGGCGTATGCCCGTCTTCATTAGCCCAGTCAGAGCAGAACAGAACAGTGGGATGTTAAACCCCATTTCATTTCATTTCTATATTTACTAAAGACTTTGACATTTCCTATTAATTTACATTTAAAAACTTTATATGTGTATAAAATCAGGCGCTGTATTGACAATACCAGAAAAACAATTTCAGAAGTTACTTACTTGTGACTTGAACCAATTAAAACTATTTTGGATGTTTTCTTGGTAAAAGTACCAAACTGTGTCTGTGCCATTATATAACAAAAATGGCTGGCATTTAAACAGCCTTTGGCAGCTAAAATATAATCAAATTATATGCTGATCTTTAGTTATAAATATACAATCTGTTATTTTAAAAACCCAGTTGAAGACTGTTATAAACAAAATAAAATTATCTTATGCTTAATAAATTTTAACACAAATCAAGAAAATGTTAAAGTTAGGTGATTTCAGAAACTATAAAACCAATTTATAAACAATTTCATCTACCATCTATTATAATGGTTTAATGCATTTGGATACATGAGTGGTGATATTTCCTAAACTCTTTATAGTATACATGGGACTTTGGTTTTAATGTATCAACCGAAGGACTATATACTTTTCCTTGGCAGCCCCATTTATCCACCAACACTGGCAAAGGTAAATAAGGCTGGGAAATTCAGACAAACATTCTTGGTCACATCACCTCTTGGTCAGGTGACGGTTAAACTCTAATTATCTCCCTTTACCACCAATTCCCCCAACGACATTCGGGGGATACTCAATTGAACATTCCGGTATTAAATTCTCACAATTCCAAAAATAGTGTCAATCGAGTAAAATGGGGAATTTCGGAGTAAAACGCATGTGCCGATTGTATAAAAAATATCTCAACCAATCATGACAGCTGAAACATATTTGTTACTTAAAATACGTCACGATTTTACTCACACCATCTCCATAGTCGGGACTGACAGAACTGTGACAAGGCTGAATTCTGTGTCACTTGATTGCGATTCTGTCAATTCAGGACATTCCCCGACTGACAATCGAGCACCCCCCATAAATATGTGACAATCAGTATCTTACCAAGTGTGTCACCTAGCGTTGCTATAGATTTTCTATCTATATCAGTTTTAGATGTATGATTTGATAAAATAATAGCTAAATGTGGTCTCCAATCTCCCCATCTTTCATCAGACATACACTGAAAAATACAGATAAATATAATCAATTTTGTTTAATAGATAGTAGAACTGATTTTATACCAAATAACATATGGTTCAATTTTAATTCAATAATTTGCTTGTGCGTAGGGGTCTTTAGCTGTGGGAGGAAACCGGAGGACCCAGAGAAAATCAACAAGGTTGGACAGGCAACCCTACTTCTTGTCACATGCCAGATGACTCAATGACAGAACTCATGATACAGCGTGCACATGCTAACCATTCGGCCATCCAATCCCCATTCATTATTAAGAGATCAGAAATATTTAACTACTGCTGTAAAACTATTTACTGGTTTGAAAAGCAGTAAAAACTTGAAACAAAATGGCTACTTATAACTTACTGTAACGGCTGCTGGTTGTCGACCAGACATCAGTTGGTATAACGTCTGTAACGGATCATTCATTTTCATGGCACTGTTAGCAAACTTCGTCATAACATTGGCATGTGTTCTTGTGTCCATTTTACTAGCCAAAAATAAGGCATGACCCCATATATTATTCTTCATAGCCCATTCTAAAGCATCCTGTTAAAATAAAATTGTGTGTGAAATTGCTTTGTTTAATGTCCGCTTCCACCAAAGTGATATCACCAACGATTATATGTTAAATATACAAATAAATTATTTACAAATTGATATAGAAACAGTTTATATATATAATGTTTTTATCCCTTGCACAGTGATACTACAGTACACTACAACTTAAGTATCATGTAGTTATGCTGTTTTAGCAGGAGTTTCTGTAATTAGTGTTTAGTTTCAAGTCATTGTAGGCAAATTGTCAAAGTTCGTTGATAATTATAGAAAGCTATTCGGTTCCTACTGTCGTGTAGTTTAAAATGGTTTAGATTAGATAATGGGTGTTGGGTTTATAACTGTTTTCTTTCTCAAAATGTTTTGAGTAATTAATTTCTCTGTTCATTACTCAACACTGCTCCAGAAATTAAACAGTTATAAACCCAACATTCATTATCTAATCTAGACATTGTCAGACATGAAATAAGGCACAATCGGATTGCCAACTGTCATGGCTTCTTTTATGTAAATGTCAATGCGTCACGGATGCACCTCATTTTTTCGGGTCCTTTCAAAATTCTGGCAAATTTTGCTCGTTAGCAACCCCTGACAATGAAAGCTGGGTTGAAAATATCCTGAAGAACCTATTCGGTCACATTGGGATTCGAACTTGGGGCACTTTTGTCAAGAGCCTAGAGCCTGACCACTTGAATACGGAAATGAAATGTAATGGGGTTTAACATCGGACCTTTCTGCACCAATTGGGCTGATTCAGACAGCATGCAGTATGTTTATACAGAATTATTCTTCATTGAACTCCAACTGCCAAGGTTTCTTTTACGTGCACAGTATTATGTACACAAGATCTTGCTTTTTGTACGGAACATTTTGTGCATGTTTCAGGAGGCAGATTTATATATTTGCTAAACCTAACACTGTAACCTGGGTATTATTTAATCTTGTGTATCTAGCACTAATTTTTTTCACATTCGTTTACTATCAAATCTTTATTTAAAAATTCGCAAAAATCATTTAAAATCACCCAAAATCATCTAATTTGTACTTGCATCCAGTTTAAAGCTGAATGATTAATTTTGATAATAAGTGTCCAATTTGATATTAAACGATTGTGAAAGTAATTAGTGCTAGATACACAAGATTAAACGATACCCGGGTTACAGTATAATGGCCTGAATGCAAAATACACCCACCTTTTTTCGTCCATAGAGTAAAAGATGTCTGAATCTATCAATAACATCTTCTCGTGATTTTCCTTTATTGATAACAGTTCTATCTGACGTGACTTTTTCTTCTGTTTCATCCAGAGTTGATGTGTCTAGATTTTCCAGACTGGTAGCTATTTTTACACCAGACATACTGTATTCATGTGTTGAGGGTTCATGACCTTCGAGTAATAAATCTGCTATATCTGTACCTATCACAGTCTACAGAAAAACACAAAGTAGAAACATTTTATTGTACATGTTATAGGGTAAAACTTGCATTCAACAAGTTCATAAATGAAATGAAATGGGTTTTAACGCCCTACAGTTCTGCTCCGACTGGGTTAATGAAGACGGGGAATACGCCATACAGTGTGCTATGAGGGAAATTTTGCCTGGCTTAGTCAAATTCCAACTGCCAAGGGATCTTTTACATGCATGCCAATGTGTACACGGGACCTCATTTTATTTCAACCCATTCAAATGACTTAGACAGCTGTCCTTGTCAGGCCCTCAGTCGTGCACCACTGACAAAAGGAAACCATACCAAGTGTAGGAGAACAACCAAAACAAAACTAATAAGACAACCTGTGGACAAGAGAGAGAGAGAGAGGGAGAGAGAGAGAGAGAGAGAAATGGGGTTTAACTACCTGTGGATAAGACAAACTACACAGATATTGCAAGTAATAAACACCAAATATTAAATTGGGTGATTGAGGTAGCCATAAGCGTCCACTGCCTTTTAAGGTGGTGCTCACCCTGGTCCATGACAATGTCACAACGAAGCCCTTCAGTCTAATATATACGGGAGCACTCATTAAAATAGAGTTTGTTTTACTCTCACTAATCGAAAATATTTTGGAATTTTGAGTTAGATACCCCACATTCAGATGTGCGATACCACATAATATTTGCGTCCAATCCCGGTGCATATGTCTTGGATATACGGATGAAACAGAATCATTGGTTTGTATGCTACTTAAAGGTGTATTAGGTGAGATTAGATAAAGAGCTGAAAGGTCTCGCTATAATTCAGTCAAATTGCTTCACTCTGTACCAAGATATTAGCCATTGAATTTTAGGCTTGTCTCGGTCGTCATTACTGACATTGGTGTGATAACAAACAAAGTCTCGATTATCCATTATTACAATAAATTATCCATCACAAAATGTATTCAAATCCAGAAAATATCGCAGGCTAACAATGACATCAAGAGTTGATTATGGACTGGAGAAGTTAATAAATGTGGAAATAATAATTTAGATAACATTTAAAGCCTAAAGAAAGACCTGCTATTGGCAGATTTAGATCTTGCATAATGTATGTTTAAATATGTATATGAGGATAACTTACACCATTTTGTTTTATCAGAACTTCTAGCAGACGCCATGTTAATTCAGCAGACTCTCTATCCACCATATTTATATCTTCATTACACATCTTAGCTTTTCTTTGACAGAATAATAATACATCATTTTTATGTGTGTCACCCCTAGAAAAAGAAAAGAGAAATTTAACGTTAAAAGTGCTTACTAAGCTGACCTAATCTATACTCATATTTGTGACTGTCGTTTGTCAGTTGAAAGCTACACCAGAGCTATCCTCGAGGCTGCAATTTGGTGTATAGGGTAACTCAGAGTAACATAGGCTAGGTGGCGTTAGCCTACTGCTTTCGGTTTCAGAGTTATTCTACTTTCAACCCGTGCAGATCTTTAACATCCGCTAGTGACAGATATTAACGATAGAAGTCACATGTCAAAAATTATTCATCAAATATTTCCAGCTTGGTAAAAATCTACCGAGGTTATAATAATACCAAATGAGTTAGGGTTTAATGTCCTTCATCTCTTCATCAACCTGGTCAATATAGACAGGTACACATAAGAACTTGTGATATGAGGAAAATTGTTTTTTTTTGATCCATTTGTAATGACTAGATTCTGTTGCTTGCCAGACCTAGGCGGAAATATCCAGACAGAATTTTCTCTGTAAACACAGGGATTGAACTCGGTCTTCTTGGTTAGTGTGAGTCAGTGCCACCAAGCCATATTTTACACATAAAGAAGACACCTCTTCCTTACCCTGTGAGGCTCTCTTAAAGGGGCATTATGTAAGATTTAGATAAAGAGCTGGCTGTTCGTGCTATACTAGTTTAAAAATAGATAATGCAAAATGAATATATTGAAAATTTCATTCAAATTACTTTATTTTGAGCGAATCTATCACTGGCTATACATGTATGTGCATTGACAAAATGACAAAACTGTTCTAATCTACTTAAAATCGGAGCCAACCAATGGCATCGAGGGTTGATTAAGGTCTTTTCATGTTAATAAATATCTAATTAATAATCTATATAACATTTAAGGCCAAAAGAAAGACCTGCAATAAGGAGATTTAGCGCTAACATAACGCCTGTTTAAGTGGTAATTCAAATTTTACAAAAGCTTAGCCATTTGCAGTATAAAACTGAAATCATAGAATCTAAACTAATTCTTACCTTACTAAAGGCCCTGGAAATTCTCTGACCTCTTCAGCACCTTTGACATCAGCTAAAATGGATTCTATTTCATGTACTTCTACGACGGCAGGCTGACCGTCTGCTGGTCGGTTTGGTAATATCTTAATGAGCTGACCATTAGCACCAAAACATGCTTTCATGTGAGGTATAGTATACTTGTGTGGCGTCAATCGCTGATATGATGAATCTAAAAATGAAGAAGACGACTGACATCTAAAATTCTATCAATACCCCCATGTACGACGATTACAATCAAAAATGTCCACTCAACATATGGTCAATTGGGGAGAAAATATAACAGGAACCATATATACACCAGCCTACAAGATGCCACCATGTATAAAACATAGGGTTCAGTGGTTGTGATTAAAGAAAACATTCTCGATGCATGGTAGTTCAGATAATTGCATGTCGGCATCCTATCTGATTAAAATACAGATCTATAAGTTCTTTTTCTTTTTTTTTATACTTTCGATTGCCTACACTAGAAGAAGATCTGACCAGTTGTACTGGGAGGTCGCCTCAGGGGTCGTACACGTAGCTTTTGACCCTATAACGTCAGACATCAATTAATCAATTGGTGACCCACAGTTCCATGCAGAGCATGCCAAGAACTCGCCATAACAGACCGTTTCATTGGCTAATTCCTCACGCCTACTAAAACACCTATTATAACAACTCTTCCAGATCCTAGTGTTGTGAAGACAAGTAAAACGAAATTTTGAACTATAAAAAATGAAAAGAAATAGGATCTGTGTCTTAATCAGATTGGCGGGCATCATAAAGGGGAATAGTTTTAGACAAATAAGCTTGACATTGGTTGTTCAGACGATTGCAGGTGGACAGGTGAAAATAATGCATCCAATGCATTAAATTCTATGTTTAGTTGTTCGATTGTCACAGTGCATGATAGAAATCAAAAAAAGCTATGTAAACTGTCAGCCTAGGGTTACACATCTGTACATGTATTTCTTACCTTGATAACTAGCATATGGATCATAATAACCACCTTGACCATAGTAATCATGTCCATAGTAGTATCCATGACGACTGTCATACGCATCATAACCATATTGATCATCTTGACGACTGGATGGTCGGGACAATCGACCTTGACTATCATAACTATAAAATAGGAACAAGATTACAATTATAGATTGAAGAACGACTTAAAATTACAAGATTCGAACTCTTAGATAAAAATTATGAAATAAGGGAGAGAAAAGGAGTTTAGCGTTCACCCAACACAAACTACCTTATTTCGAGACTAACATATTGTTCAATTTTATTTTAAGGGTCTTTAGCTATGGGAGGAAAACAGAGGACCTGAAGGAAACCCCACTAGGTTGGACAGATGAGCCTACCAACAGAGGACCTGAAGGAAACCCCACTAGGTTGGACAGATGAGCCTACCAACAGAGGACCTGAAGGAAACCCCACTAGGTTGGACAGATGAGCCTACCAACATTACAAATACAATAAATAAATATATATGTTTGCTTTTATGGACCATTTACATTTTTATTTCTGTGAGTGGTTGGGGGCCACCTACATGTATCTGATTTTGTGTTCAACTGTCAAAATTTTTGTATCGTTTCGATTCTGTCTCATCAATATTAGAATTCATCAGATCAACCCAATTAAAAACTTTATTTTGACCTAAATAAACAAGATTTATCTTCTTTAAAAGTTTTTGATATTAATGATTAATGTATAAAACTGTTAAATAATAGTATTATTGTATTAGTATATTAGAGATTTAAATGATTTATAACACTGTACATATATTATAACATATGGTGTAATGATTGACCCTGGGGTCGTAGTATAAACAGATTAATCACATTTTACTCTGTTTAAAATCCTTCAAATCCTGTCATGTCAACCCCTCAAGGACTCAAGATGGTTCTATACATGTATATATATAATGTTACTCCATCGAGTCCACAAAAATAAAGATGGACTTTTACCAAAATTTATGAATTTTATTTTAAAAAAAAAAAAATCTGTTTAAAATCTTCAGAAATATTTGTTAAATAAATCATCAGAAAAAATTGTTAAATAACCTTACTCCATAGCAATAAATGTTGATTTTTCATTATCCATAAACAATTAATTAAATGAACTAAAAACATTTGTATAGAATTGTGGAATTAATGGATAAAATAAATTTTATACCCCACTAAAACTTGGCCCATAAACAAATTCAAAATGATTTGATGAAAAAAGGGAAGTTCAAATCATGGGAAATAATGGTTAAAGAAATCTCCTATAAAAAATGTTTAGTTAACACTTGTCTACATTTACAACAAACATACAATAATTATATTTAACCGGTTGTTTACTTTTTAAAATAAACCATAAATGGTAAATCATAATAAACAATATTTATGTTTATTATACTATCTATTTTATGTTTATACGAAGCTATAAATAAAAACAATCACAATAAAATGGTGGAAATATCTATGATAAAAAAAGGAAAAAAAAAACAATAAATAAAACCCAAAATAAAAATAAGCAAAACAGAAATGAAAAAATATCAAAATTCAAGCAAAATAACTGAAAAAGCAAAACGCTTTTGTTGTGTACATGTACATGCTGTTACCTTTGATCTGCGTCATCTATGGCGAGGTTATTACCCCGCGGTGAATAAGATCGTTGACTATATTGATCTGTGTCGCCTCCATACTGACGATAATAATCTGTGTACCTGTAAGATGCATTATGGGACCTAACATGCGATTACTATGGTTACACAGAAATTAACGTTATTCTTTCATGTACAATACACAGTACGTCATGTGCTATCTGATAAAAACATGTCATGCATCTATGTTAGGGTCTGTCGTAAGATGAAAATCACAAATCATCCCTGTAGTCAAGGCACAATGGACCACACATGCTAAAGGGATATAAATATTATTGGGCTGTATAATTCCTTGTGTCAAGTGCAATATTTCCTCTTCTCAAGATCAAGGACAATTCAAATGGTTGCGTTTTAATCTGAACATCAGTAAAAACAAATATGCTTTTTCTTAAAAGATGTATAATTCTATTCTTTGAAACCTTAAAATTAACTGAAATGGGTTTAACGTCCTACTGTTCTGCTCTGACTGGGCTAACGATGACGGGCATACACCATACAGTGTGCTATGAGGGAAATTTTGCCCAGACAGCGGTACTACGGCCTACTCTTATATCGAATTCCAACTATGAAGGGATCTTTTACGGGCACGCCAATGTGTACACAGGAACTCTGTTTTTTGTTCATTTGAGTGACTAGACAGCTGTCCTTGTCAGGCCCTCCGTCCTGCACCACTGGCAAGGGGGGAACCACGCCAAAAATTCTGGATGAACTTTCTCGGGCAACGCAGGGATCGAACACCTGACCTCCAGGCTAGCGAGCCAGTGTCTTACCCACTTAACCACCAAGACCCCCTGAAACCATAAATAGATGAAAATGGGTCTAAAAGCACAAATTAATGTAATATGACTGTATATAAATAAATGTGATTTATATTCAATTTTTAAAAAAAAATTGTAATTTCTAATCAATTATGTTCGGTGATATACACGAACAGCCCAAATTTAACACCTGCTTAGTTCATTCCATACCTGGTTTTTTATTATTATTTTGTCGTTTCTGAATCAGCCATTACTAATTACTTCAACATTGTCTTGTAGTCTTTACTCATTAACCCATGGCGCCCGAAACCATAGAATACATGATTTGTGTACTAATTTTAAAATGTTTATTATGTCTGAAAAAATGCTTTTTAGGATCCTACATAAATATTGATTGCTTTGGACCAATACTGAATTCTAATTCATGTTTTTAATCTTGAATATAATAGAAAATAATGAGTTAATTCTAATTGTTTGTCTTATTTGTTTGTTTGTGTGTGGTGTATTCATTACTACATGTGTATTAGTAATTTTGAGATTCAATGTAACAATGTTTAAAAATAAAACAAGAAGACTCAGTCGTCAACATTACACACCATTTTACATCAAATAACTAAGTCAAATGTGTTTACACTTCTTAGTTAGTAAAAAGTATAACTATTATAATAGGTTGATGTGTGTACAAAGTTTTAAAAATACGGTTTATGATTTATGGTATGGAAACAGAACCATTTTGGCATAGGATAACAACAGTGACATGCTCTTGAGTCTTCCGTGGTTTGTTTTAGAATCTACCCCATTATGATTTTATTAGATTCCTCCTGCCATCAAGAAATTATGAAACCAAGTAAATTAAAAGAGGTGGGTGACATTGACTTATTACAGTGCCTTGAGCAATCACCTTGGATGAAAATCAAATGAAATTGGGTTTAAAATCCTACTGTTCTGTCACTTTGGATGGAATGAGCACTCTATAAATGCACATTATTATTTATGACATGTTATCTTATCATGAGGTTATAAATGTGGTTCACTTGCATGTGCTTATTCTCAGATATCTTCCACCCTAAAAGGATTATACAACTTAATCATGTCAGTGACCCAATCACCACACAGAATTCATACATGTACCAAAATTAGTCCTAACATTTCTTTATCAGTTCAGACATCAATGTACATATACGTTATTAAAAGTAGAAATGAAATGGATTTGGACATTTTTTTCTACCTAATTTCTACAACAACCAGGGGAATAAAGACGGGCATTATATGCTATTAGTGTTCTAATTTATATATACATGTACATGTATTTCCACCAGTTAAAATATCTTTAATGTGACTCAAATAGTATATACGGTTTTCGGCTCTTAGTCCTGCACCACTATCAAGAGTTTCATATATTTCTTCCATTACCTAGTAATCCTAAAGAGCCTTCACCACTGCACAACCTTTCAGAAAACAATCCCAACACAAAGAGAAAGACAGAGAAATACGGGTTTAACATCCACTCAGCACAAACTAGGTCATTTCGGGACCAACATATGGTTTAATTTTATTTCAATACTTCGCCTGCGTGTAGGTGTCCTTTAGCCAGTGGGGGGAACCGGAGGACCCGGAGAAAACCCCCAAGGTTGGACAGGCGACCCTACCCCTTGCCACCTACAACCAGGCAATCGAAACCATGCCAGTTTTAACACATGGTTCAATTTCAATAATTTGTTTGCGCGTAGCGGTAGGAGGAATTTGGAGGAGAAAAACCCACACCGTTGGAGAGGCGACCCTACTCCTTGTCAAGTTCAACCGGGGAATCGAACCCCGCCAGTTGACACAATGACAGACTTTATGATACAGCGCTCACGCACATGCTAACCATTCGGCCATCCAACCCCTCGTTGTCCCCTACAGTTGACTCAATGACAGACATTATGATACAATGCGCACGCGTTAAGCATTCGGCCATCCAACTACCCAAACCCAACACAGTGCACAAGGTCTAAATCAGATAAAACATGAGTGAGTACTGCGATATACATGCATGTATGTTACAATGTATATAATAATGTTAAAATATTAAAATATTACATCTAGAAGCTAAAGCTGGCATGTTAAAGACAGATTATGAACATTCTTTGCAAGATAGTTACTTTGTTTTAAAACCATAATTTTATCAAACACAAAGAATTTAAATGTTGTAAAAAAACATTTAGATATACACATTTACTGTATGTAGCTCGAAAAATAATTCAAAATTGTATAATAAGTTAAAGATGAGAAAACATTCTAATTTGAGAATGGAAAAGATTAGAATTTAGTCAAGTACATGTATCAGTCATCAACATCATCATCATCATCATCATCAATAAATTAAAACATGCTTAATTCTTATGATCCGTGTAGAACATTTAAAAGTTTAAAAGAGAAAACAAAGGTCTGTTTGTGTTTTCTATGTTATATGTTTTACTACATTAAATTTCCAGCAAACCAACAACTAAAGAACCAGTCATGGTACAATGTCTTTATTTCTCGACTGTGGGTTACAAGATAAAGATGCTGAGGTCTAAATCTTAGATGTATATATATATATATATATATATATATATATATATATATATATATATATATATATATATATATATATATATATATATATATATATATGCAATCAAGTATATCTATCATCTTTATTTTTAAGCTGCTGATTGTCATTTGAATTTTTCATAACATTGTCTTATCTTTTAAGGTTTAATCCACGTTAATATATGGTCAAGTTAGTTATTTATCCAATCTGGTTAAAATACAGATCTATATTTCATTTCGTTTTTTATACTTTCGATAGCCTACACTACATGAAGATCTGGAAGGTTGTGTCAGGGGTCAAACGAGTGGCTTTCGACCTATGACATCAAACACTGATTAATCAACCAGCGTTGATGTTTCTATTGGTTTACCCACAGTTCCGTGCATCGCATGCCAAGTATTTGCCGTAACAGACCATTTCATTGGTTAATACCTCATTTCAGCGAGAACGCCGGTAAAATAACAACTCTTCCAGGCTCTAGTGTAGTAAAGACAGGTAAAATCAAAATTTTGAACTATGAAAAACGAAACGAAATAGGATCTGTGTTTTAATCAGATTGTAATTTATCATTTAATTGAGAATTTACATTCAAAATACTAATTGTGGATAATCTTCTGGCTTTGATTCAATTTCAATCAGATCAAATCACTAGCTTGTCTGTATCAATTGCGCAAAATTTTCGAGTCATGAAACATGTTTCTTTATAAATACTAAACAGATTTGAACCATATTTGAACTTATATTCCTCTTAGATATTAAACTTTCAGAGCTTCAATTCTCACAATTTTACAGTTTGCAAGGGATTCAAATGACAATCACCGGCTTCCAGCATTATTCAACAAACCAGATTTAAAGACAATGTACCTTTAAGCACCATTACCATTTTTTTGTACACAACCTGTGATTTGATAACAGGTAAAGAAAACATGACAAATAAATTACTAACCGTGCTTGACCTTGACCACTGTAATATTCGTCATAATAACCCTGACTATAAAGATAGTCCAGATCATAATTACTACGTTGATGTTCATCATAATAATATCTTCTTCTTGGATCATAGTCGTAACCTGGCGAGAGGAAAACAATAATACTGTTAAAAGAGAGAGAGAGAGAGAGAGAGAGAGAGAGAGAGAGAGAGATGGGGTTTAACTCCACTCGACATAAACTAGGTCATTTTGGGAATAACATATGTTTCAATTTTATTTCAATAATTCGCTTGCGCGTAGAGGTCTTTAGCCATGGGAGGAAACCAGAGGACATGGAGTAAACCCACAAGGTTGGTCAGGCGACTCTACACCTTGTCACAAACAACTGGGGAATTGAAACCCCGCCAGTTGACTCTATGACAGACCTCATGATACAGCGCGCTAACCATTCGGCCATCCAACCCCTACATACTGTTAAGAACATTTAGCAAATACATGTAGATCCATGGATCGGCAGAGTACAATGTATATAAAAAGATTTTAATGATCCTTTCACTGTAATACAGGTATCATTTAATCTTGTGCATTTAGCACTAATTTCTTTCACATTCATTTCAATATCAAATCCTTGTTTAAAAATTCGTAAAAATCATTTAAAAATATCTAATTTGTACTTGTGTACAGTTTAAAGCTGACCATTCAATTTTGATAATGTGTGTCCAATTTACAAGCGTTTAATTTCCTGATCACTGTTAAAATATAACCCAATTGATTATTGACGTACATGTATAATGATTAATTTTCGAACAGTGGTCAGAAAATTAAATACTTATAAATTGGACACTCATTATCAAAATTAATGAGTGCGCTTTAAACTGGACACAGGTACAAATTTGGGGTGATTTTAAATGATTTTTACAAATTTTTAAACAAAAATTTGATATTAAATGAATGTGAAAGAAATTAGTGGTAGATACATGTACATGTACACAAGATTAAATGATACTCGGGTTACAGTGTTTCTTAAATCAAATTAAAAGAAAATCAGTTGAAATTGATTTTAAAAACTATTTGAATTTGATTATTTATGTGAGTCCTACTTAATTAATGTATCAGGGTTTATAAATCAATATAGTTTCTCCAACTGAAGACAAAAGACATCTGGCCGTAAATAGAAACCATACTTCAACTGGTCTGTTCCGATTCTGTGATCTTAATGTGCAATAACAAAAATCTCTTATTTTCAGTATGACCAGCTGTTACAGAGTAATGATAAGCATAAAAGTACTGGTATGATTACTATACTAATTCTACAGAGAAAGAAATGGGGTCAAATGTCTACTCGACACAAACAAGGTCATTTCGGGTCTAACATATGATTCATTTTTTTCATTCAATAATTCCCTTGCAGGTAGGGGTCTTTGGCAGTGGAGGGAAATCACAGGAAACTGAGAAAACCCATGAGGTTGGATAGGCAACCCTACTCCTTGTAACCTACAAGGGGGAAATTGAAATCAGACCACTTGACTCAATGATAGACCTTATGATACAATGCGCACATGTTAACCATTCACCCGCACCCCCCCCCAATTCCCCAATTTAAAATATGTAATATTTTGTAATATATTTACCTCTATATCTTTCTCTGTAATATGAATCTCGAAGATCTCTTTCAGTATCGGCTCGGGATTTAGGTCGATCTGCAGTCTGGCCAACTTGATCTGATTCTGAAGAAATAAAATACAATTGAAGTGAACCATTACAAAGTACAATGTACAATCTGATGGAAATGTGATCAGAGCCAAATTGGCTAATTTTTGCTCTATTAAATTCCCCGATATGGTGGCTGATACACCTTGTTGTTAATGCAGTATATACATGTAGTCAAGCAGTAGTAAGAAGTTTTATTTTAATCCCTTCAAGTGCCTGTGTTATAGAGGTTCATTACCAATCTGATTAAAACACAGATCCTATTTCGTTTCGTTTTTTATAGTTCAAAATTTCATTTTACTTATCTTTAGGTTCTGGTTAATGTGAGAGATTAGCCAATGAAACGGTCTGTTACGGCGAGTTATAGCATGAGGTTCACGAAACTGTGTGTTTCCCACTAAAAACACCAACACTGATTGGTTAATCAAATGTCTGACATCATAGGGTCAAAAACCACTTGTGTGACCCCTGACTCGACCTTCCACTACAACCGACAGTAGAAGTGATCGAAAGTATAAAAAACGAAACGAAATATAGATCTGTATTTCAATCAGATTGGTTCATGACAATAGTACCGAAACTTTTATATGTAGTCAGTTATTCATTGTTTGAAACTATTTGTACATCCAGCCATTTTTGTTAAAATACATGTATTGTAAAACAAGGTTTTGTAACTGTGTCTCAGTGTAAATAAAAAAACTTACTCATACATGTACATGTAAATAATAAAGCTATCCTTACCATTATTTCTTGATCTTGGACGTTCATATCGTTCATGTTGATAGTACGGATCTTGTTCATAGGCTCTATAATTACCTCTATATCTCGAACGATAATCATCTCTATAATCAGTTCTACTGGAAGGTCGTTCTCGGTCAAATCTACTTGATGGTCTCTCTTTTTCATAATATGGATCTCTGGCAGCGTAACGATCTTTATATCGTCTGTCTTTATACGAATCCAATCTGGAATTGACTTCATCCAAAGAATCTAACGATCTATTATCGTCATCTTTTTTCCAGCTGTTGCTTCCGAGTCTTCGATCCCTATATTTACTTCTTGATGAATCGGACACGGCCTCACTGTCACTTCCTTTATATTCATTACGCCTTTCATCCAGTCTTGACGATCGACTGGATGTCTTTTCTGCTGGTGAAGCTGATCGACTTTTGGAAATTGGGACAATCTGTGAAGCTTCTGTGACTGAGGGGGCAGCAGGAGCAAGATGAACACCCAGCGCAGGAGTGACAACATCATCCCATAAAGTGGTAGCTGGAGACATGTTATGTTTGGCACGAGCCACAGGTTTAAATGCTGAGCTGTGTTTCCTTGGAGACGAGTGTGGAGCATCTCGGGTAGGATTCACAGGAGGCTTTGATGAATCAATGACAAATGGCCTGATGTCAGTCGAATCTTGGTCCTTTGTTCTCCGACTGTTTGGTTGTTGCTTTGAAGGACTACTCTTCGGTTCCATTGTTTCAGGTCTTTTTGAAGTCACTGTATTATCACTGACGGTCTTTGGTTGATTTGTCATTGCATTATCAGTACTTTCATTCTTGCTACTCAGAGTTTGAGCAGACTGAAAGGGGAGCTGATTGTCTGCATGGGAGATTGGTTGATGGAGATCAGTGTTTTGGCTGGCTGTGGCAGTTGGTGACTGCAATTGTATGGGGTGAAATATCGGTGCACTTATAACTGGGTTATTAGATGACTCATTTTGTGGAACAGGGCTACGACTAGGACTTTGTCTGCGGAAGGGATTGGGAGAAGAAGCAGGCTTGTTTGATGATGCTTGAGCTGGGGGTGGAGGTTGATTCAGTGATCCAGGGGGGCTGTTCAAAGATGCAGATAAAGATGCTGTTCCTGATGTCGCAACACTGGAAGAGGTAGCGGACACACTTGAAGTAAAGGCGGAACTACTTGACTCCGAATTAAACGATGCTGATAATTTAACATTATAGGGGTCCACAGTTTCTGTCCCCTGCTGTTGGTTCGAGACCTGAGATCCTGATTGGGCTGGCTGACTAGGTAAAAAGTTCACAGTATTTTCTAAAGAACTTTGACGGCTATGTTGAGACGATGACGAGGGAACCGAACCAACAAATTCCCAATCATTTAAAGGACTTTGATGTTCTTCTTCTGTGGGATTATGACCCGATCTAGTGTCTCCTGTGACGACAGGACTTGGTTGATGGATGGGTTCTTGACCTTCACTCTGATTTAACGACACATTTTGGAATTGCCCCGCCATTTGTTGTAACAATTCATCCTGATCCATACTATTATTTGCGGAATCCCTGGTCACTAGACTCGCATTGCTGATCAGAGAATCAGTCCTCTGAATATTACCAGGTATATCTAAAAACTGATTCTGATTTTCGCCTGACACTTGCCCAGTTGAAAATGGGACAGTTTGATGATCAGCAGAATTATTGAAATAAACGTTAGTATTATACGTATTACTATCTGTCAGGTGCGATTGGTTTATATCATGTGACTGGCTTATATCGTGTGATTGGTTCACATGAATATCATGTGACTGGCTTATGCCGTGTGATTGGCTGATATCATGTGTATTATGTGTTACTGTTGGTACTTCATTTGAAGGGGGTTGAAAGTTCACAGGATTTTGAAAGTGACTTGATTGTTCACTGTTTAATTGAGGCTGAGCCTGAGGATCGTGTGAGAAATTATTAATGTTGTCGTTCGACACTGGTTGAAATGTGTTATATGCCATATTGGCCTGTTGTGATGTTTGTACATTATATCCTTGGTCCTGTGTGTATCCTTGCCATTGTTGGTGTTGTTCTACAGTGTTCCCAGCGACAGGCACCTGTTGATGAGCGCCAATATTTTGTCCATGCTGGGCATATTGCGGGGTTTGGGGATCCCAATAACCCTGTCCATATCCCTCAGACTGTGGGGTGTAAATTCCACTGGCTTCACCAGGGGTGTATATATTTTGTTGCTGACTGGTAGCAATGCCGGAGCTGGTGTCTTGAGTTCCCCAGGAACCCCAACTGTTCCATGAGTTCTCATGCTTCTGAAAATTTTGAGCTGGATCTCCTGGTTGGGCGAATGAAGAATTTTCTACTGAATGAGGTGCATAACCCTGTTGTTGATTGGCTACTGAATTTGGATTATAAGATTCCTGATGAACGCCTGCAGAGTTTGGTATAAATGCTTGTTGCGTTGCGGCTGTTGAATATGGAACATTAGCAGCAGATGTCGACACTGCTCCTGAAAATTGAGTTGGATCAAACATTTTAACTCCACCAACTGGCTGGGAATTGTGAACATTCCACGGAGCTGATTGACTCATTCTGAAAAAAAGAATAAAGATTAAACATACATTATGCAAGAACTAAATCTTCCTATTGCAGGTCTTTCTTTAGGCCTGAAATGTTTTCTAAGTTATTAATTAGACATTAATTAACTGACCCAGGCCATAATCAACTCTCGATGGCATCGGATTTCTCCGAAATTAAATAGATTAGAACGGTTCAGACATATTTTGATTTAATCTAAAAATGGAGGAGCGAGACTTAGCTTCAAACAACCAATATGGTGGTTGAAATTATTGCACACGTCTTGTCAAAACTTCAAAGGCCAATATCTTCGCTCACAATAGAGTAATTTGAATGAAATTTTCAAATTATTCATTTTACATGATCTATTTTCGAACTGTTATAGCAAGAACGGCTAGCTCTTTATCTAAATCTTACATAATGTATTTTTAAAGTTAAAGGATCATAATTATTACACTGATCAATTAGAGATGAAATATGTAAGAGCTAAATCTGCCTAATTGTATGTCTTTTTTCTGGCTTCAAATGTTACCAGTATAATGTGCATTAGTGTTGAAAATCGGATCGAGATTTTTGATCCGAATACTTTTGTTGGCTATCTGAATACTATTCGGATAATTCGGAGATGTGAAATTCCATCAAAAGTTCACATATAATTTCTTACATGTTTGATTTGCAAATTGTTTGAGCCGTGAAGAAAAATGTGCCTACCTTTAGCCGTAATTATTAAGACTATCTATGACATCCCAAAAAATCAATGAAGTGAAGGAATTTGTATAGTATAACTACTATAACTACTCCTGTTATCCGCACCCTCCCACTTATCATTTTGCTCAATCAACATGAATGAAAAAAGTAAAATAAAAACATGTGTCATTTATTCCACCAAGGTCGTTTGCCTCATTCTGATAATCTACTACTATTGAACCAATCAGTGAGTGGGAATATACGTGACCTAGGTCGTTATGAATAAATTTCATTGTGGGAAGTCAAAACACGGTCTAAACTCGTATGCCGTAAGTAGCGCAGGGAATGAATGAATATTTTTTTTATTTAGATTACTGTTTTCGTTGCACTGCATTAATAATTTTATTAGTTACTATCACTAAATGAATACGCATAATGTTAACATTTATGATCAGAGCTGCGTACGTGATCAATTGCATTGGGGAAAATTTCAAAGTAATCAGATGGAAAAATGGCTAAATACATGTATAGAGCATACGGAATGTCAGAATACATGTATATTGTAACGAATAGTAAACGGATAGTAAAATGATTCGGATAACCCTTATTTTGTATTCGTTAACGAATATCCGAATAGTAGTTTCAACACTAATGTGCATATATACATGTATTATTATTTTGACATTTATTCACATGACAAGCCTAATTAATGCTCCAATTTTAAGTAAATTAGAACGCCACCTTCATTTAAGAGTTAAACAATAATCGAAAAAAAGTAGAACTGTACCGTTGCTACGACAATAAACAATCTATGCTACATTTGTCAATTATTCAAACACTCATAATTTTGCACTGAATAAAATAATTTGGCAGAAATTTTCAATACATATTCATGTGAAAAAATTTTGGGTTTCTTGATCAAAGATATTTCTCATAAACAGTGATTGAAAGTTAAGAAAATTCTTAACTGAAGTCTGAAAATGCTTTTCATATGGGGTGGTTTTTATAGTTGTTCGTAAACTGAGAAGTAAAAAAAAAATGGAATGGCCTGAGTTTGACTTTTAGAGCTAATTTTTTAAACCTTGGAAAGTGTGTCAATGTCGTCTGGATGGGAAAATAACTGTTGCCGTTGGTCCATGTTGAATGAAGTGTGGAACATGTTACGATCTAGAATAAACTATTGACAGATAAGATTCTAAACCAGCATACATGTACATGGAAACACCATTTTCCGGGAAACTTTTCCTTCATGAAACGGATATAACCAATTCTATTTATATATCTACGTGTACATGTACATCTAGATGCACATGAGTGATTACCAAATCTCTCCTGCAAACCAATTTTTTTTAACAATATGCATTGTCTCTGAGGTACATGTAAGCCCAGTTGTTCACTGCACATACAAGAAGGCCGACTGACACTGTACAGTACATGTACCATACTGAATGGAGAACTGATACCAAAACTAAAACCTAGCCGACATGCATGTTTATTTCAATCAAAATGAATGACACAAGTAAAATGATGCGACATTATAAATTATTAATCCCATCTTTTCTATATTTATAATTGACAATTGTTAAAGTTGTGATTAATTAATTCTGTCTGAAACAGTTTATTTTTTAAAATGTTGATTCAAACTTTGAATCAAAGAGGTCATAAATCCCCACTAATACTCAAAGAGAGTTGATGGGATTATTCATGGTTGATTGCAGGCATATGGAGGGGTGTATACTGTATGAACAACCTACATACTGCTGCGATTTTGAACATATTGACACTCTATATTCACCACATCCGTCTATTGACAATATTGTAAACAATCCATACAATTACTTGCTTATTTTACTTGCCTGTTATTTTCTTCAAACCGCGTTATATAGCGGAATGTTTTGAATTCTATTGATACATGAAGTATTCCGTGATCACCGGATGTGGTTTTTAGACAAAATAAAGTCCTGTTTGTATTCCCAATTCGGCAAATTTACACGGAAGCCATGCGATTGAAATGATTACGTGTGACATTCGAGTAAATACGAAACGTCGATAAGAGAATTTCGGTATATTTTCCAGAATAATATCTAATTTATTGTTGAATCAATTATAATTTTGAATCTACATTCTGTAATAGAACCATACAATTCATTGTTAATTGCTCAGTCTTGCAAATTCACAAGATAAATTATTTATACGAAACCAAGAAATAAAAATCAATGTAGCTTCCTGTCATGCGCAGATGTTAGCCACGTCATTTTATTAAAGTTTCCAAAATATTAGTAAGAAGTCTGATTTAGATTTACGTGTAATTGACTGATATAAAATTGTCTGTGTGTTATGATTTAGAAGACGGGTCTAAAATGGTTTTGTTGACGATGATTGCCCGTGTTGCCGACGGGCTTGCACTAGCGGCATCTGTACAAGAAGACGAACAAGTTTGTTTTTATTTATAATTTCAATCAATACTTTGAATGCTGGTAACTGTTCATATACTAGGAACACTGAACCCGTGAAGCTTGACTGTAGATGTTTCACATTTCCTGACTATGACATGCCTTCCCTAAGCTGGGATGGCCTAATAGTACCGGTATCTATAATTCGTTTGACTGCGGTATTTCGTCTGTTGATTGTCTGTTTAAATGTCACTAATGTCAGTATGATTTCAATTCAATATGTTGTCGTTGTTATTGGTTCGACTTTCAGAGTGAGACATAAAATCATTAATATTAAAGTTATCAAGGAGTCTCAAAAATCGACAACTGTCAATCATTTATCATACCTTGTTGTGTCTGCAAAACACAGATTATTTTTTATCAACACTGTTTTTCATGTACGCATAGGCCTACCATTTATTCACATGTTTTGGATGGAACGAAAAACTGAGGTCCTGTGTACCCATTCGCCATTGGCATGCACGTAAAAGAACCCTTGACAATTGGAATTTGATATAAAAGTAGGCTGTATAGTGCCTCTGTCCGTACCAAATTTCCCGCAAAGCACACTGTATAGTGTATGCCTGTCTTCATTAGCCCAGTGGTAGCAAAACAGTAGGATGTTAAACCTCATTTCATTTTTGCAAACATCAAGATTTACATGCCGATTTTCATTAAGAAATCGACAGCCCAGACAAAACTTAAAGAGCCATTATACAAGATTTAGAGAAAGCTGGCAATTCTTCCAGTGCATGTAATACACAAGTACATTACTCATTGTGGTTTATGGTCCACATCACTTCCATTGCTGTGATTGTTCATTAGCTGAGCACTTAAATCATACTCAAACTGATTGATTAACAGATATGAGGTACATTGTAGGTTCTTATGGTAAGAACAAATTAAATTGATCATAGTTTTTGTGACATGTATTGTTATTGAAAATGACTTCATGAATATTTCAGGCAGGAAGAAATTTAATGGAATATCAGACTCAAGCTAAACAGTTGTTCCGTAAAATATCACAAGACCCTCAGCCTCCAACTAGATGTAGTTTAGAAAGTGGTCCTTATATATTTCAGTAAGGGAATTCATTTATTATGTCTTGATGGGAATTATTTTGAAAAAATAAAGATATCTGAACTAGTGCATTGTATATCATAAGGAGTCTTTAACATGCAACCATTGGTTCTGTGTATACTATTGGCTGCACGTTAAAGACTCTGTGACAATTGAACACCAAAATAGGAGTGGATCATAGCAATGCTGTCCGAGCAAAATGTTCCTCCTACTAGTTCTTGGGGTTACCACAACTTTTCATCTGACTGAGACAGTTCGGGACAGTTGAAGGAGCTCTTGGTTATGGCAGTTTGAGTCAGACATTGTACATAATGTGTTTAATCACTAGATGCCATTTAAGGATTATAGGCATACTACACTGTAATGTTGATATCACTCACTTATGAACAAATACAAACAGTTGAAACGGATCTGGGTCGTCATTATACATGTATGTACATAATGTTTATTAGTTTAGTTAAAATTGTTAGTAATCAGGTTGTAGTCATTAAGTAGGTGTTATGTCACTAATAAGGTGTTAAAAATCTTACTATTAAATGATATACACTACTACTGGATAGGTTTTGTGTATTCAATAATGATAGGTATTATAATTAGGCATGCTTTTACACCAGTAGTAACATCTTTTACAGCTAGTTACACACCTACATGTACTGTATAATTTCTTACCACTTCCTATACATGTTAAACATTAGTTTAGAGTGATGATCAGTTGTATGATTCATTGACAACAATGTCGATTAGTAAATGGCCTACGATCATAAGTTAGTGGTATCAGCTTAACAGTGCTAATATCCATCATGAACAGTCTGATTTTTATCACTCCCAGGCTTACATGTACTATTTACTCATTGTCTCCCTTTTTTTTCCAGTTATCTTATAGAAAGAGGAGTTTGTTTTCTAGTTTTATGTGATAAGAGTTTCTCCAAACGATTAGCATATACATTTTTGGAAGATATTCAGTTAGAGTTCATGAATCAATATAGTACTAGAGTCGAAACTGTTTCTCGTCCTTATAGTTTTATAGAATTTGGTAAGTACCTAGTAGATATGATTTAACATCAACGAGTAAACAAGACACAGATATACTGGCATTTGTCGGGTTTTAAAAAAATCTGTTCTACTAATGGCAAGGGGAGGGGGGGCAAATGGTTAACATGTGCGCATTGCATCATAAGGTCTGTCATTGGGTCAACTGGCATGGTTTCACTTGCCCGGTTGTACATGACAAGGAGAAGGGTCACCTGTCCATCCTACTGTGTTTACTCTGGGACCTCCGGTTTGTGCCCACTGCTAAAGACCCCCCTACGCGCAAGTGAATAAAAGAAATAGAATTGAACTATATGTTAGTACAAAGTTTTGTCATTAGGGATGGGCAAAATACTGAGGTCCGGTGTGTGTATATCATTGGTGGCACGATGTAGATCTCATCACAGTGGGAAATTGAAACAGCAGGGTTTAGCTGAAATAACAAAATAGTAAAATGTTAAAATCCATTTCAGTTTATAATATATTTACTGCCATTAATATGCAAATATATATATTTGTTTATTTTAGATACGTACATCCAGAAAACTAGAAAATCTTACATGGATTCTAGAGCACGACGTAATTTAACCAATATCAATACAGAATTACATGATGTACAGAGAATAATGGTACAAAATATAGATGATGTTTTACAGAGAGGAGAAACTTTATCAGGTTATTATTATTATATCTTTATTTATTCTGTACAAGTGGAGTTTGTCCCACTGATAGATCTCCTGCGGCGGCCACCTACTCAGTATCTTATAGTTTCTTCTTGTAATTTGATCGCTTGTAACATTAGACCTCTCTCATTGAAATAGTGCATGATTGAGAAGATGGGACGAAATCTGTCCACGCATTCGACACATGGCCTTACAGATCTGTTTGTGTGACGTTCGCATTTCGTGTAATAGGATTAACTAGCATTAGACCTACCTTATGAGAATTGACTGTCAAATGATTTTACCCAGTACTTAAAGATGGCGTTGACTGGTTTATATCATTTGCAGATTCAGGATCATATCTAAATATTAAGGACACTTGCAGATGTAAATAGGGTTAGTGCACGTTATTGGTGACGAAATTGTGGGTTTGGGCTAGGTTTAAGATTTTGGGGGAGAGGTTTAAGTCTCCACATAAGCACTGACCTAGGTTGATGGAAATTTAATTTGTGGCATTTCCTGTATAGTTTTATAAAAATATATCTTGTGACCTTGAAAAAATCTGCAGGTGACCTTAATATTTAGACCTAACCCAGATTCAGCTTTCACAATATTGTAGTTTGCAAGGGATTCAAAATCAAAAATGTCGATCAGTAGCTGTAAATTTAAATAATGTCTTAGTAAAAATGTCTTTTTTTTTTCAGTGTTAGATACCAAAGCTAGTAATTTATCCACATTATCACAGAAATATAAGAAAGATGCCAAGTATTTAAATCTGCGTTCAACATACGCAAAAATAGGCGCCGTTGTTATTGTTGCCGTTGTTTTTCTTCTGTTTATTTATTACTGGGTACTGTGAGAAAACTTTCAGAGAACAAAACAGTTCCATAATTTTAATACTGTGAAGCCTGGTCAGATTCAACATCTAAATATTTATTGTTGGATACTGTGAGAAAACTTTCAGAAAACAAAACGATCAGCATCTTTAATATTTAGTCAATGAGTGAAATTAACAGTTTATAAAATTGATCATTTTTTAAGCAGGAAGTTGTTCCATTCATGATAATCTTGTTGTTGTTCTTCTTAGACCTCTGCTAATTTTGAGTATGAGTGACATTAAACTTGCCATTCCTCTTCCTTGAACAATTGCATGTCGATTAAAGATGCATTATGTAAGAGCTAAATCTGCCTATTGCGGAATTTTTTTATTTTGGCTTTAAATTGTATATGAACTATTATTTAGACATTTATTCACATGAAAAGCCTATAATCAACTCTCTAGAATATGGGTGGCTGAGATTTAGACAGATTGATATATGATCACCATTTAATTTAATGATTTAATTTAAAAATGGAGAACCGAAGCTCAGTCTAGATTAACAAGTAACATTGCTTCGATAATAAACAATCTATGTCAAACTTCAAACAGTGATAACGTCACTCAGAATAAAGTATTTTGAATGAAATTTTCAATATATTGATTTTGAATTATCTATTTTGCAAGAACGGCCAGCTCTTTATATAAATCTTACATAATGCATCTTTAAGGGACTTGAACTTTTGATATATTGTCACAATTCCAAAATGGCTACAAAGATGTAATTACACTGGTTCCTATACTACAGTCATACTTGTTTCATCTACTTTTTAGTCTTTTAAAGGATATGTTTTCTATGAATACAGAAATCCCAGTATTTCGGTTTCTACGTGATTCTCTTGATTCTCCACTCTTGATCCAGAGGTAGGAATTCGAGCCCCGCGACTCTGACTGGCTCTGACTCGAGTCCAACTTAAATTGCATCAATGACCCGACTCGACTTGAAATATTTATAGAGACTCAACTTGGCAGTCATAATGACTCGCGACTTGAAGAAGCTGAGTCACTTGCCGTATTCGCCATGAATTGCCAACTCATTTGATGAACTGGCGACTTGAACAGGTCTCGGGCTTTGTGGAGACTTGGGACTCAACTCAACTCGGTGCTAAAGTCTGTGACATGGAACTCGACTCGTATTGTTCCCACCTCTGCTCAGAACAAATATATGATTTATGTGGCGGAATTCAGATGTATTAAGTTTAGCAATCATCAAAGTATGATTGACTAGAATTGTACTTGGTGTAAAAGAATAGTGTCTTGCTGTACAGGACAGTATTTGTCAATTTTGTCTCTAAATCCGCCATTTTATATTTCATTTCGTTGTCAGTATATGTATATATGACAATCATGTCATATGATTATTATTAAGTGTAATTCCATTTTTTTTTTTTTTTTTTTGAAAAAAATCGCAATAAAGGCAAAATAACTTAACCCTTTCATAACTGGTTACGATGGTCTCCAGTTTATTGAGCCTATATTAAGCCTATAATGGACGCAATCTCTTAGATCCACAGACATTTTGAGTGATGACCAGATGAACATTTAAGTATTGTCGGATGACCCTGTGACAAGCCCCAACATAACCGAAGTTCCCTTTTGAAAATGAAATGGGGTTTAATGTCCTACTGTTTAGCATCTACCAGGCCAAAGAAGACAAACCTACGCCATGCAGTGTGATAGGATAGAAATTTAGCATATCCACCTATTTCAACTCTCAATAAGGAATTTGCTTTTGGTCTTTGCTGTCTCCTATTTACTGTGTTTGTTGATATTCTAGTCCCAGAATGGACTCAATCACACCAACCCATGGAAAATCTGACACATGACCATACCCCATGTTATGAAAGGGTCAAGATATTTGAGTGATTTTAATATTTTGGGAATTGCCCATCTGTGTTTTTTTTTTTTTTTTTGTTGTGTTAAGGTTGTTATTTCAGACTAGTCTATAACATGTGTAAATTTGTAAATAAAATAATTATAAACATGTAAATAGAATTTGATGTTGTGGAGCTTCTCATTTTGTTCATGTTCAGAATTTGTGTGCCATTTCATATCTGTTTCATCTCATTATATTATAAGAATTTAAATAGATGTGTTTTGATTTTTTGATACACGTCTCATTTAGCCACAGTCTGTCGCAAATATGTACCATATGTTAGTCCCAAAATGTCTCTCTTGTATTAAACAAGTTTGACTTTGTCTGGAAAAGCTTAAATCCCCATGATTTCCACCGAGCTTCGGCTTCGTCAAGTTGTGATCACGAATGGTTGATTCTGTGACAAATGAACACTCAACAAGAACAGAAGAGAAAAGAAAACGCTGTTAGACCCAGTGTAGTTCTAGCACCACATGGTAATAAATTGCTGCCATTGTTTTTCAATGACATATGAGCTTTGCATATTATTCATTTACAACATTAGGGTCACACGACAACCAATTAAACTATAAAAGTTGATAACACTGGAAAGATCTATTACTTCTGATGCCTTATTCACGAAATTTTTTACTCAAATATTTTAAGAATACAGGCTTTTCATTGGCTTGGCTAAAATTTGGACCAGACTTTAGCTAATGAATGGTTAGTATCCTTGTAATATTTTAGTTTTGTGAATAAGACACTGGCATTAAACAGCCTAGGATATAATATATCACATGATTGGTTTGGGGTCGTTAATGACACCAATTGACAGTTAAATTGTCCTCAGTTTACATGCAATAGATGAAGGTATTTACAAGAATTTAAAATACAATATATTATGACATTATCATCTTATTATTCTATAATTTTTAAATGTACTCTGTATGTATTTCTGTATATAGGCTACTGTTAATAAATCACATGAAAATAACAGAGTTGTTCCCCTTATTGCTCTTCACTCTAAAATATTTCTTTAACTGGCATGTGTTTACCACAAGTTTAGCTCTAAATCTATTTGTTAAAGCCAGCTCAATTTTGTTCATGGTCGCTAAAATGTAAATAAGGTATGTGATTGTCCGTTAGGGTTAGGATAAGCATTAGGGCTAGGTCCAGGTTTGGGATTAGCGTTAGCCCTGTTTACATCTCGTGAGGTTTAACCAAACTTAATGTTGGCCTTATCAAATAGACATAACCATGAGCTCAGGTAATAAAGGTAATAATGGCAATCCTTTCTACCAGTTCCATTCTTTCCATATTTAACGTGCACCATACGGTTAAGGAAAATTTTACCCAGATAGCAGAGTTTCCAATTGATGTAGTGGTGGCAGATGGCCGAATGATTAGCACGTGCGTGCGTGCTGTATCATAAGGCCTGTCATTGAGTCAACTGGTGTGGTTTCGAATCCCCGGTTGTACATGACAAGGAGTAGGGTCGCCTGTCCTCCCACTGCTAAAGACCCCTACGCGCAAGCGAATTATTGAAATAAAATTAAACCATGTGTTAGTCCCGAAATGACCTAGATTGTGTCAAGTTGATCTTAAATCCCATTTCTCTGTCTCTCTCTCCAATTGATGGTACTCTTCATTGAATTCTATGTCAAGGGTTCTTTTACGTGTACATGGCAGTTGGAATTCGATATAAGATAAGGCCATAGTGCCACTGCCCATACAAAAGTTCCCTCATAGCACACTGTATGGCATATGTCTGTCTTCATTTGCCCAGTTGGAGCAGAACAGTAGGATGTTAAACCCCATATCATTTCAGCTTGCATATCACGCCCCATCCCACCACCAAGAATGAAATCAAATGTAGTTGAGTATGCTATGAGGGGATTTTTGCTCAGACAACGCTGTTTCCACATACTCATCACATCCCAATGACTAGACATTGATCCTAGCCCGAGATCTCCTGGTTAGTGAGAAATATAGGGAATCACTGAGCCACCATGGTATCTCTGATTACTCCACAAGACCAGTGATGGGATTTTGCCCTTGTATTCCGGACATGTCCGACGCTATTTTCCAAAAGTCCTAAATTGTCCGACCAGGAATATGCCCAATCGGACATCAAGACATGGTGAATAATATTGAAAATTCTAAAATTAATATAGTGTACTGAGTGTATATCTACCACTCAACCCGATTATCGCTGATTGATTGGATTGACTGAGTAATTAAGAGACCAACTTATTTACCGTGTGATACCGTCCCACCACTGCACAAAACCCTATACAAACAACACAAATGTCATTAATATACATTGTTTTTACATTTTATTTCAATCAGTGGAGAGCAAACTATGTACATTATGATAATACAAGCCACAAATCAGCTTTATTTAATAATAGGCTATAAGGCACACACTTAAGTTTATAAGTGTACATCACCATCCATATTTTTCTGTAGATATATCATATATCTGTCTAGCAGAATTTCATCTTAAACTGGCTTTAGCAACTGGAAAACCCCAAACCGATCGAAACTACTGCTCCCTCTAGCGCCAAACCAACCAGTCATGTTAATAATTTGTGAAGTGAACTAGTGCTGGGAGTTTGAGGCAGTGTAGGGAGCGGTGCTTTCGGGCGGTTTTGAACATGAACTATAAAACTCATGATCACCTTTCTCCATTTCGAGGGGTAGTCAATATTTACATGTACCTGGTGCTAAAGAGTTATAACATTTAAATGAATAAAAAGGCTTGATGTAATATGATGGTTACTTATGAAAAAGGAAGTGTGTATTTTCCCTGTATTGAAAAAATGTCCTGTATAAAGCTTTATAAATTGATGCTATTAATTCTAACACAATTTTGACATCCTTAGGCCTCCATTTAAAAAGAAGAGACAGGCATACACCTATGACTAAAGACAGACAAATATTTAACATATAATATAGGACATGTCTAATTTATCATATAATATAGGGCAAATTTAAAACAATTTGCTACTAAAAATCTCATTTGAAATCTTTAGATGGCCTCATTTTAAGGTTAGGAGATTATCTACTATTGTTATTTTGATTTTGTTTTCTTTATTAAATGTTAAATATTTAATTGGAGTACATTTTAGCAAAGATGTTGTCCTATATATGTAAATGACAATAAATGCCGACTTTAAAGAATTAGTGAACATCATTATTTGTATCTGGAACTAGTGCCAGTATTTTTTGTTTAATACTTGCAATGTCTATATAGTTTGTCTTGTGGGTTTTCTTTTGCATGTAGTGCGGTTCCGCTGCACCTACTATTTAAATAGATATGGCTACTATTTTTGGAGGGTGTACATTGGATGCATGTTGGCATGCCTGGTCCTTAAATTAGTCACAGAGTAACTCTGACTTTAAAAACTTTATGTTGTCATATATGGATAATTTCAGAAAAGCTGTGCAACAATTTATTTGTTTTATGGTTCCAATAACCGTACATTAATAACTCTCATTATTTGACAAGGGTTTAAACTATTTAGTAAACTATGTAATCCAGTAAAATTCAACTGAAGTAGCCTAGTTCTGTTTAGTGTCTAAAAACCTACTTTTATTGACAAGGGTTAAACTATTTAGTAAACTATGTAATCCAGAAAAATTTAACTGAAGTAGGCTAGTTCTGTTTAGTGTCTAAATAACCTACTTTTATTGGGTGTCTAATTGTTAATAACTACTGTTTTTATATATTATATCACATAAAATAACCGGGTATTAATTAATACTTTATGTTAATTGACTATTTCAAGACAAGAATTATAAAGAGGGTGCTTTTGTTGTTGCCTCATAATTCGAAAAGTTTCCATAACTATTTACGAAGACTCCCTCTTCACCAACATCTCTAAAAGGGACCGGATTCCTCAGATAATATAAGGATCAAATTATTAATGTTAATTTCTGTTACAAGTTCAAATCCCCTAATAACAAAAATATTATTGCTTTTCAAACACTATATTGAGGGCCGTTAAATACATAGGCTACATAAAAGTAGATAAAATTTTAAGATTTATTTCATAAAATCATTGATCATTTAAAATCGCCACCCCTTTATGGAGGGCTAAATGGTTCATTATTCTACAATAAGAAAAGAAAATAAAGAACTGATTAGTCTTTCATTTTCTTTTGCAATTACTGTATAAAGTGCTATTTGAATTATTGATTAAAATGATTATTTTGGTCAAATTCTTAGAGTGATTTCAGGCCATCTAAACACATTATGACAGCTATATACAGTTATAGCTTATCTCAGCTCTATCCCTGCTAATACAGGCAATATGAGTCGTGGCCATCTATCTCACCTTACTATTAAATAATATTCACATACAGGTATCATATTGATGATAATAAACAGAACAATAATAACACTGTAAGTATTGACATCAATTGTTATAAAATACAGCTGAAGTTGCTCTTTAAGTCGTTTTTTTTTAACAGTAAAGATCTGAGCCAAGCTGTTAAGAAAGTAAAGACAATCCTTCAAAATAAAATGATATTATCTCCCAAATAAGGAAAAACAATAAGAAGAAGAAATATGTTGACTATAATAATATATTACAATGTACAATATACACTCATATCATATACACATTATACATACAGATATACTATTTATAGACTATTATACAAGATTTAGCACAAGGTAAACTTTAAAATATTCTTTTAATGTATTATACAAGACTTAGCAAAAGGTAAATTCTTTATTTTAATCATCAGTAAAAAAGCTAACTTCAACCCAGCTAGATTTAGCACAGAGTAAATGTTTAAATATCCTTAAAAAGTATTATTTAGCTTATAACTATCATTTTAATTAATTTTAATTATTAAAGCCCAATTTCAACCCAGGACATTTTTGAAACGTGCTTAACATGTATTATTTAGCTTATAACTATCATTTTAATTCATTTGATTAATTTTAATTATTAAGAAAAAAGTCCAGCTAGAACAAAACAATATTTATTTGTTCTTCCAAAAATTATCTCTAGCCACCTTTAATAAATACAGTACATGCGCTTTCAAATCCTCTTGTCTACAGAATAAATCACCTCTTAGGGAAAAGATCCACAATAATATTGGGAGAAAAATAAATCCTAAATCACCAGAAATGACCTTCTCTACAGATACAGACTTTTAAAGAGCCTGATTCTGTTTATTCACCAACGTTGGGTCCAGCGGTTGAGTCTCTCTCCCCACCTCCTTCCTCCTGGGGGGTTGGATGGCTGAATGGTTAGCGTGCGCACGCTGTATCATAAAGTCTGTCATTGAGTCGACTGGCGTGGTTTCAAAGCCCCGGTTGTACGTGGCAAGGAGTAGGGTCGCCTGTCCAACCTTGTGGGTTTTCTCCGGGTCCTCCGGTTTCCTCCCACTGCTAAAGACCCCTACGCGCAAGCGAGTTATTGAAATAAAATTAAACCATATGTTAGTCCCGAAATGACCTAGTTTGTGTCGAGTGGACGTTAAACCCCATTTCTCTCTCTCTCTCTCCTTCCTCCTAAATTTCATGTTGGATCATAAGTTCTGTCATTGAGTCAAGTGGCGTGGTTTTGATTCCCTGTTTGTCCAACCTCATGAGTTTTCTCCAGGTCATCCAGTTTCCTCCCACTGCTAAAGACCCCTACGTGCAAGTGAATTATTGAAATACAATACAACCATATGTTAGTCCCGAAATGACCTACTTTGTGTCAAGTGGACATTCAACCCTACATATTTCTATCTCTTTTCAGGGAACAGAGTGCCAAGGAATTAAAAACTATTTTTAATAAATTTTATAATCTGGCTAATACCTTTATAATATATATATATAACAAGTAGAGAGGGGTTTTACATAAGCACCCAGCACAGACTCCCCCCCCCCCCCTGCCCATCTGGATTTCTGACTGAAAAAGTCCCATTATAATTTATTATTTTAGATCGGATTCTTGCTTCAGATCACTGGAAATGGCATTTCTGGGCTTCTGGTTTAAGAAATTTTCTGGGTGAGGCGGTGCCCGTCCCCCTATCCATGGTTTCTGGATTCACCCTTGAATGTTATATTTATATATAAAAAGTAGCCTAGGTAACAACACTATGAACAGTTTCTGGTCAGAAGCAAACAAAGACAGTTATAATTAAAGTAGAAAGCCCACGGCTGATACATATAATTCACTGACTAGATTATTTCAAACATACGCTCACATATATAACATGAATATATACACTATATACAACATTAAACTACATGTACACATTATCATAAAAAAAACACACAAATATTTATCAACAATATTTAGTTATTCCTTAAAAAAAGAGCCTCAAAGAAGCAAAAAAAAATTATACTTAGCTCAGTGCTGAGCTGACTTATTATATAAAAAAAAAAGATCTTAATTTTTATTCCTTTAAAAAAAAAGCCTTGAAGAAAGTAAAATTATGCTTAGCTCAGAGCTGACATTATTATATATATATATATAAAAAAAAACAATCTTAATTTTTATTATTTATTAACAATATTTATTCCTTAAAAAAAAGCCTCAAAGATGTAAATGAAATTATGCTTAGCTCAGAGTTGACTTATTATTATAAAAAAATAAATCTTAATTTTTATTACTTATAATTTTTTATGCTTTAGAGATTATGGAGGTTAAAATAAATATTTAAAAAAATGATTCTACTTTCTGTGTTTGTAAAAATTATTATGTCACAGGGTCAAGGTCAGGAGAAGAATTGAAGAAAGTGAGCAGAAGTGCCTTAATATATGATCCATAGGGGTACTCCATTGAACATTCTGGAATTCAGTTCTCTCAATCCCAAAAATATTGACAATCCAACGAAAAGGGTGATTTCAGGCTACAACGTATCATTTTTATTCTACAACAGAATTTCGAATTTGGATGTGGTAATTGGAAAAATTGTAAATAGGCATTGATTGAAATGTCAAAAGTTTGCGCAGACCAAATCAGGGTAGTGTTCATCTTTAGTCTGGATGATAGAGACTACATATAAATAAAGTCTTCAGAGTATTCACTCCCTTCAAATAGACTCCACCGCGCATTATATAAAAATAAAATATTTTAAGAATACTGTCTTTTTATTAGCCAATAAATGATTTTGGCCTTAATTAAGCCAATGAAATGTGAGTAACCTTAAAATATATTAAATTTTATGACCAAGACCCCAGCCTTATGGTACAGGCCAAGAAAAATGACGATGTCCCAAATTGTGTGATTGCTGCAACCCCACAAAGAACAGTAGTGTGGAACTGAATGGGGGACCAGCTGGTCCATTTCATTGCTGTCAGCCACGTCTGGCAAATATGCCTGAAATACAAGCCCTGATTCCAATCAAACCATTATCTTCAGAGAGTATAACTCTACGTATATATAACAGACTCTTGGAAATTGACAGAATTGCAATGGCACTTGTGATACACCATTGGGTTGGGGATGATAATGTCGCATGCCGCATTAATAATTGGAGGGATATCATCGTTTATTTTAGGCTCCTGTCTACTGATATTATGAAACTGTTGGCTTATTATAATATTCACATATTTAAGTATAATGACAACGGTCTTGAATACATTAATAATAATAATAATAATTAAAATAATAATAATAATAATATACATTTAACGGTGCAAAATATACGATCCCTAGCAACAACTAAGCATACAACGTGTAGACTAATTTTTTTCACCCGTATATGAAATTTTAAATGGAATTTGGAATACACACGATATCAATGCAAAAAAAAAAAAAAAAAAAAATCTTATTGTTAATTTATTCTAACTAAAAAACCACTAAGGAGTCATATACACAAATATTGTGACACATGTACTAATACAAACAATATATGTACTTAATTCTTTGGCGATGTTGTCTCAGTTTATAATGATCAATACATTCCATCAATTGGTGATTGATTGATTGATTGATTTCCGTAACAAATATATCAACGCACACATACACTAGACACATATGATGATGAAATGCATTTGTTTGTTGTTTATTTATTATATTTTAAAACCATTCGTCGGATGACTTTATTATCCCTTTAAGTCGATATAAAGTCAAACTGACTTGATTCTTTAATTTGCATTTCTCTTTTCAATTCAAATTTACTTCTCTCGAGCACTATTCTCTCTGACTTTCAAACAAACAACACGATTTTCGTCCTCTGTTTTAAATATGTTCTTTTCCGTTCTTGGATTTGTTATAATCCACGAACAAAAACATCCGTAATAAATATTTTTACTATACATACATATATATATATATTATACTCATCTGGAATAGTTTTTACTTGATTCTCTGTGAATCACAGTTTCTTTTTTATTTTTCTGTAATGAACAAAACTTTGCACTTACAAAATAGTACAGATATCCTCTGAATTATCTTCCCTTGTCACATGGTTCTTATCACTATGACAACACAACAATTCAGTCAGACAATCACTGATCATTATCCTCCACAAGTAATTGTTTCTATGGTGATAAATCCAGCACAAGCTGTAACATTTAAACACTTTATTTTCAATAACGCTAAAAGTATTCTGAATATATATTTGGATCTACATAGTCCGGGCGGGGTATTTTAAAACGCCCTGCGTCGCTGCTTAATTTTTGGAGGCTGAAAAAAAAGGAAAACACATGATTAATAAAATACAATTTATGATCAGTACAGGAGTTGTGTATTCTATGGTTACGGGTGCCATTTTGTAATGAACAAATAAAAACATATCCTAAAATAATAATAGAAAAATCTAATGGACTATGCGGGCGTAAACGACTGCTGTTCAATTTGAACTGTTTACGTATTTCACTGAACATAATTGATTAGAAATTACTGAAATTACTGAATATAAATCACTTATTCATATTATATTAATATGTGTGTTTAGAATAATTTTCGCCTATTTCAAGGTTCCAAAAATTTGAGCATACGCCCTTTAAGTGACGAAGAATCGAGTCAGTATGTCAGTTGCAAATGATGAGCCGTAAGCAGAATCTCGATATAAGGAAACAAACCGAACATGGTTAGCTGAGCTGGTGCATGCTATGTTGCGAGCAATTGTTATGTTGAAATCTTTGATGGTCACTGTGGGTTAGACCTTTCTGTGGGGGGATCTGTAAAGAACCCTCACCTCCCGATAACCCTAACCTACAATGTCGCCAACAATCACGTGCCCTAACCTTATTCACATCTCAGCGACCGTGATGAAAATTGAGCTGGCCTTAACAAATAGACTTAGCCGGTCACTGTGGGATTATAAGAATCAATCATGTTTTAGCTGCCCTGTTTGAAGTAACTGTTGTGCTTAATTTTGTCGATGGTCACAGTTTGTGGAATTGTAAGAATCGCGAAATACATATTTTTAAAACTGACCTTTCTAAAAAGGAAGGGTTTTCAAAGACGGGAGATGGAATGTCTGATGATGAGGGAGTAAACAGTTCTGGTATTTCTACGGATTCATATTCACCACTAAAAAAAGAAAACAAATAAACATGATCACCATTTTTATAATCAACAAGAGAGAGAGAAATGGGGTTTAACATACACTTGACACAAATTAGGTCATTTCAGGACTAACATAGCCTACCATTCAATTTTATTTCAATAATTTGCTTGTGTGTATAAGTCTTAAGTAGTGGGAGGAAACCAGAGTACGCGGAGAAAGCCCACGAGGTTGGACAGGCAGGGAATTGAAACCATGCCAATTGACTCAATGTCAGACCTTATGATCAGTTAAATCATTCGCCTCCCCTTCCCCTCTCGTCCACACACACAGACAAATTATTGATGAAAGTATGAATTATGGAAAGCTTACCTTGTATACCGTTTTTTGGGTGCACCACATCGTTTTTTACACACTCTGCTGACTAGTACAATACCAATTATAATAACAAGCACTAAAATAAAGCCACCCAATACCATGCCTATCAGTTCTGCCTGTTTGGGAGTTAAACTTGACGGTGCCTTTTTCTCTGAAAGAAAAACAGAATTTTTTTTATATTATTAGCTTTCATCAATATTGATAGATATCCAAAACTACTAGCACAACCATAAAGCAAAGCAGCACTACTTTGCTGCATGGTAAATGATGAAAAAGGTATTCCAACACAAACTGATTTCAACAATGGTTTAATAACATTTGTTCATCTGGGGAAGCTCTTTAGAAATCATTTAAATTTGTTTATTTGCATCAAACATCAGTAGATATAATATAAGTTATATATAGGGCTGGTCTTCTTTTTAAGAGACTCAACTACAAGAAATGAAATGGAATGGGTTTTAACGTCCTGGGAGCCGCGGTGGCTAGTTGGTTAAGACGCTGGCTCGCTAGCCTGGAGGTCGGGTGTTCGAATCCTGCATTGGCTGAGAAAGTTCATCTGGATTTTTCGACGTGGTTTTCCCCTTCAGGGCCTGACAAAGACAGCTGTCTAGTCCTTTGGATGAAACGAAAAACCGAGGTCCTGTGTATACATTGGAATGCACGTAAAAGATTCCTTGGCAGTTGGATATAAGAGTAGGCGATAGTGCGGCTGCCCGGGCAAAATTTCCCTCATAGCTCACTGTGTGGCGTATGCTCGTCTTCATTAGCCCAGTATAGGAGCAGAACAGTAGGACGTTAAACCCCATTTCATTTCATTTCATTTCATTTTAACGTCCTACTGTACTGCACTGACTGGGCATACACCATAAAGTGTGCTATGACGTAAATTTTGCCACTACAGCGGTGCTATGGCCTACACTTGTATCGAATTTCAACTGCCAAGGGATCTTGGTTTTTCGTGCCATCTGAACGACCAGAAAGTTGTCGTGGTCACAGGTCCTCCGTCCTGCACAACTGACAAGGAGAAATCATGATGAACTTTCTCGACCAACACCCGGACTGAACCCGTCAACTCCAGGCTAGGGAGCCAGTGTCTTACTCACTGAACCATCATGGTTCCTGGGCTCATCTACAATATCATGGTTTTCAAGGAATATTAAAATCCCTCAAATGAAGATCAGCAGCGTCAAATATGTATTATGTAAGAGCTAAATTTGCCTAAAGCAGGTATTATTTTGGCTTTAAACTTTATATAAATTACTATTTAGACATTTATTAACATGACAAGCCCATAATCTACTCTCTAGATCATCGTATGGATTTAAATGGATTAAAATACCCCCCCCCCCCACCGAGATTGAAAAATATAATGATAAAATGGAAAATCAAGACTTAGCCTTGATTGTCAAGTATCGTTGCTAGGATAATAAACAATCTTAGCTACATCTTCAAACAGAGATAAAGTGGCTCAGCATAAAGTAATTTGAATGAAATTTTCAATATATTCATTTTCCATTATCATTTTTTGAACTATTATAGCGAGAACGACCAGTTCTTTATCTAAATCTTACATAACACATCTTTAAATATATTGAAATATTTACTACATACCTTGGACACAACGTGGAAATACGCCACTCCAGGTACCATCTGCTTGACATTTTAAAACAACACTTGTGACAGGAGGAATAAACTGAAATCCTTCATGACATACAAATGTTACGTTAGATCCTGGCTTATATCCACTCACGGTTCTGTTACCATTGGTTATTTCATCTACAAACGGACATCGAACAACTACGGAAAAAAAGACAAAAATCCCGGTCTAATACATTATTATACACGAGCGCATGAAAAAGAATGAGAGAAAAATGGGATTTAATGTCCACTGAACAAAAATTTGGTCATTTAAGGACTAACAATTACAGAAAAAAAGACAAAAAATCCAGGTCTAATACATTATTATACACCAGCAAATGAAAAAGAGTGAGAGAAAAATGGGATTAAATGTCCAATCAACACAAATTCGGTTATTTAAGGACTAAAATATGGTTCAATCTTATTCGATACTTCGTTTGCGCTTAAAGGATCTTTAGCAGGAGGAAATTGGAGGACCTGGAAAAAAAATATGATATGATTGGCAGGCAACAGTACACCATAACAAGTACATGCTTGGGAGCGAAAACCATGCCAATTTACTCAAGAGAGAGAGAGAGAGAGAAGAGAGAGAGAGAGAGAGAGTTTAACATCCACTTAACACAAACTAGGTCATTTCGGGACTAACATATGGTTTAATTTTATTTCAATAAATCGCTTGCATGTAGGGATCTTTAGCAGTGGGAGAATACCAGAGGACCAAGAGCAAATCCACCAGATTGGACAGCTTCCCCTACTCCTTGTCACGTACAAGTGAGGAATCAAAACCACTTGACTCAATGACAGACCTTATAGTGCAACCATTTGCCCCACCCCCCACTCCCCCCAATTTACTCAAATAACAGACTGTATGATCTATAGCACATGCAGGGGTGCGTCGTGAGGGCCAGGGTACCAAAAGATAGGGGGGCCCTTGGCCTCTAGAAAATTTTGAAATTTGTCAATTCCGAGAACGCTGTTTAGAGCGCCTCTAGCATTCCAAATTCCAATATAGACATCTGGCCAAGGCATGCACTAATAGCTGATAATGAGAGTGCGAGAGCCGGTTCGCGATCGACCAGAGAGCAATTACATATCTACCATTTAAAAATGAATAAACTAGTAAAAAGGTTGAAAACTTTCATCATTAGGGCATGGGTGTACATGTATACCCCAGAAAAGGGCAGGGTACCATTTGCATACCCTGGTACCCAGGTTCCGGTGCCCCTGAGTATATGTGTCAGGCCACTTGAACATCCAACCCGCCCCCCCCCCCCACAAGTGATAACCAACAGAAACAATCTCAAATAAAGTACTCGCTCACCTGGTTGTGTGCCTTTCTTTCGTTCTTCGAAAAGCGTTGCAAACTTTTTGGTTGCTTGCGCAATGCTTTCTTTTTTGGTGATATCTAAATCATATCTACATTGTTTGTTTTCACCACATATTTTATTTGTTTCGTTTGACACAGTTAGATTAATAGAATCTATAAAATCAGGCACAAAAGATGAGTTAGCGGCCACAGAACTCAATCCAACATCCCTTGTAAATAAACTGTCTTTTTCTGGCACAGCCCCTGTGGATAAATTTACATGGACATTAAAGAATCAGTATATTAAAACACAATTAAATCCCGGATCCTATAATAGCATGATTAAATCATGGATCCTACAACAGCATGATTAAATCACGGATCTTATAACAGCATGATTACATCATGGAACCAATAATAACAGCATGATTAAACTGCAAATCTTATAACAGCATGATTAAATCATGAATTCTATAACAGCATGATTACAACATGGATCTTATACAGCATTATTACATCATGGATCCAATAATATCATGATTAAATCACAGACCCTATAACAACATGATTAAACTGCAAGTCCAATAACAGCATGATTAAATCATGAATCGTATAAATGCATGATTACAATATGGATCATATACAGCATGATCAAATCATGGATCCAACAACAGCATGATTAAATCACAGATCCTATAACAAACAGCATGATTACATCACAGACCCTATAACAGCATGATTAGATCACAGATTAGATCACAGATCCTATAACAGCATGATTAAATCATGGATCCTATAACAGCATGATTACATCATGGATCCTATGACAATGCTGGGATCATCAAATGTTTGAATATAACTAATTCATATTGATTACTAATGCTCTAACCCAGAGAAATTGTAACAGATTTAGATTTGGCAACCAGTATTTTAGGTTATTTATATAATTATATATACTTACATGACATTCCAAATCCATAATGGATATCTTTCATAGTAGATTCACTTGATATTGAAGTTCCATTACGACTTAAAAAATCATCTTTCGGATCACCGTTATAGTTACCTAGCAACCCTTCAAGTTGACCTGTTCAAGAACAACAATATATAGATTTATATAGATTAACGGAGCTAAATCGCTAACATTTGGGACCTAGAAATTGACAAAAGTGGGTCGCAACGCATATAATACTGTAGTATGAATGTATATAAAATGATTTACATTCAATGGTTTCCGTTTTTACTCCAATTTCAAATCAGTTATGTTCGGCGAAATAAGTCAGCAGTCTCAAGCGAGTGCAAATTTCAAGCGTCTGGTTATTCCAGTCTACATATGCCGTTTGATTTGGTGCAATGTATCTAGCCTCGTCCCTCGAGTCTCTTGATACAACTGGGGCTGAAGCGCATTATGGTACACGATTCGTGTACCAATGGTAAAATGTTTATTTTGTCTTAAATATTGGATATCAAAAGCCATCTTTTTCCGGTAAGATCACAACATGAATGTTGATTTATTGACAAATAAATTGTGTTTTCAATGTTGAAGATTTTGGATGATAATGAGTTAGAGACTTGTCTACTTTAATATAAAGATAATTCTTCACAATAGAAAATGAACAAAAAATTCTTTAAGAACAAATTCTTATAATAAAGATTGCAAATCAGTCCTAATAAAGTTCTCGACAATACAAAGTGAAAAAATTTGCTTTAAACATACATTATGCAAGCGCTAAATCTGCTTATTACAGGTCTTTCTTTAGGCCTTAAATGTTATCTAAATTATCAATTAGACATATATTAACTTATCAAGACCATAATTAACTTATCAAGACCATAATTAACTTATCAAGACCATAATCAACTCTAGATGCCATCTTCAGCCTGCGATATTTAGTGGATTTGAATATGTTTTGTGATGGATGATTTAACGTAAAACTGGATAATCGAGACTTCGTTTATTATGGTAACAACAGCCGTAATTGAGGCTAATCTAAAACTTAATCGCTCATATATTGGTTCAGAGTGAATCATATTGACTGAAATTTTCAGCATATTCTGTTTTCATTATTCTTACCTAAACAAATACCCATTTAAGAACAAACTCTTGACATAGGATATAAAGATCAGTTAAAATGAAATTTAATCAACTGAAATTAAATATTTTATGGCAAGGTAACTGAATAGCACTAACATCATGAACTTAGGAGTCAAGGTGGTTAACCCATCAAATTTTGGAATAACAGAGGGGAGTACTCAAATCATACAGAAAAAGGAAATATATTAACAACTGTGACCGTAGATTGATAGAAGTTCTAAATTTGGCCAGTCCATGTGTAACATAAAGACAGAGAGAGAAATGCGGTTTGTTTAACGTTCACTCGATACAAACTAGGTCATTTCGGGACTAATATATGGTTCAATTATATTTTAATAATTCTTTAGCAGTAGGAGGAAACCGGAGGTATGGAGAAAACCCACGAGGTTGGACAGGCGGCCCTAATCCTTGTCACGTACAAGCTGGGAATTGAAACCACGTCCCTTGACTCAATGATAGACCTTATGATGCAAAGTCCACGCGTTAACCATTCGGCCACCCCTGGTGTGGAAATAAATATACATGTATTTACCTTTTAATGTTGGTGATCCAACCATAATCATGATATTTAAGAGATCTTGTGTAGCTTCGACTAATACAGACATTCCCACAGAATCCATTACAACAGTTAACTGTGAGGTGGCATTCCCTGTATTATTCTTATATACTGTTAAACCTGTTAAATAACAACATTAAAACACTTGATAACACTTATCAATTAATATAATACAACTCTAGGACAGAAACTTAAAAAACTAAAATATTTTAAAATTCTGGCCTTATATTGGCCAAGAAAACAAATCTATAGAGAGATTATCAGGTCTTGCATGCTATAAATTCTGGGGACTGGTACTTTAAACTACAAGTGTACATATATAGAAGGGATGTAAATTCAGTCTGATATTTCATACAATCTGATTAAAACACAGATAATTCCAAATTTCGTTTTACTTATATGTACTACACTAGTAACTGGAAGAGTTGGTATATAACCTAAGTTCTGGTTGATGTGCGTACGTAACTAACGTATGAAAATTAAATGGTAGCTGGCTTTTTTTTTCGCACGTATACAGTGAATGGCCATTTTGCTCAGTAATCCCAGCCAGAATTTGGCTATTTTTTTAAAATTGCGTTAAAGTTTTAAATTTTTGTTTAGAATTGAAATAAATTAACTTTTAGTCAATCCCCACGCTAAAAACATTAACAGAATTGATTGCGAATATCTGAAATAGACACGACCGAAGCACAAAATAGTGCCAATATGCCGAAGTCAAATCTAGAGTTGTAGATGATGTTATTTTTATGAAAAATCATTGGAAGAAGCGATAAGACGTTCTGTACGGATTATACAGTCCTAAAGGCTGCAAGAAGGCTATTGTTTACAATGTAACATTGTGTCTTGTAACGTTGATAACGATCATAATGATGGTGTTTACATTTGTTTGTTGATGTGACCTCATGACCTGTGACGTTTAGATAACGTCATATGTATATCATGGCTATTCACTGTGTCAGAGTCACTTCTCTGCAGGTAGGGTGAGTCTGTCGTTCAGATTGGTTGATGTGAAAGATTAGCCAATGAAACGGTAACCCACTAGAAACATCAATGCTGTTTAGCTAATCAAATGTCTGACGTCAAAGGGTCAAAAGCCGATTGTATGACCCCGACGCGACCTTCCACTACAACAGGTCAGATCTTCAAAAGTATAAAAAAACGAAACGAAATATAGATCTGTACTTTAATCAGATTGCTTACAACTAAAATATCAGCCTTTTCATCCCATCTGAACAACTAGACAGCTGTCCTTGTCAGGCCGTCCTTCCTGCACCACTGACAAGGGGAAACCACGTCAGAAAATCCTGATGGACTTTCTCTGCCAATGCAGTGATACATTATCTAATATTTGTGACTGTCGTTTGTTTGTCTGTCTGTCTGTTCAGGATTGGCGGCTACACTAAGGCTGTACCGAGGCTGAAATTTGGTATATAGGGGTGGGTCAGAACGGGCAATAACATAGACCTGGTTGCGTTGGCCTACCACTTCCGATTTCCGAATAATGCTACTCCCGCTTCATGGCTATATCTGTGCTTTGCGGCTAAATCTATTTGTTAAGGCCAGCTATTTGTTAAAGGTTAGGGTTGGTATTAGCGCTAGCCCTGTTTACATCTTGTGATCTTTGACCAAATTATATCCGTGCTATGCGGGGTCAACAGCTAGTATTAGATTGAAATTACCCATACCATTTAATTGTGAGGTAGAGTCTAAATCAGTTTGTTCAATTTCTTCACCATTAACCAAAACTTTGACAAGTTTCTCTTCATCCCTTAAAATCTCTAAACGATCTGATGTATTCATAACCTGCATTGCTATAGCACTAAATATGGTGGCCTTTTGTAATGTGTCTGTAAATATAAAACAAACAAATCACTTTTACTACAATCAAAAAACAGAGACAAGCAAAATATTTATATGTTTCACCTTACTGAAGACAGATGAACTCTTGGAGAGAGAGAGAGAGAGAGAAATGGGGTTTAACTCCACTGACACAAACTAGGTTATTTTGGGACATATACATGGTTCAATTTTATTTCAATAATTTGCTTGCGCGTTGGGGTATTTAGCAGTGGGATGAAACCGGAGAACCCAGAGAAAACCCACAAGGTTGGACAGGCTACCCACCCTACTCTTTGTCACATACAACCGGGGAATCAATGACAGACCTTATGATACAGCGCGCACATGCTAACAATTCGGCCATCCAAACCCCCCAGATGAACTCTTGGTATTATATACATCATTCTTTTTAAAATATACATTGCCAGGCAACAAAACAGACGCTGAGTTGTCCGAGCATTCAATAAAGATTGTTACATTGTAAAGCTTCATGTAAATTCACAGTAAAATCTGCATTCTGTATAATATCATTGGTACTTTCACAAGATTATATAACATAATCAAGGGCAATAATTCAATAAATATTGATCAGCAATTGTTGCAATTGTTATTTTTTGCAATAATCGAAACAAATTAAGTTCAAGAAGTTCAGATGATGACCATCACTATTATAGCATTCTCATGTTTCAATAAAGTAAGCTATGTACCTTTCTATAAAATCTTTAAACTTTCAAGGGGGGTTGGATGTCCGAATGGTTAGCACGTGCATGCTGAATCATAAGGTCTGTCATTGAGTCAACTGGCGTGGTTTTGAACACATTTAAAATAATAATAATAAAGCTTTTCACCATTAATATCTCTAGGCCCTAGACTTTACGGTTATTTTGAAAATGATATTCAATATTGAACACATTTAAAATAATAATAATAAAGTGTCTCACCGTTAATATCTCTAGCTTGATCTGCTCTAACCTGAACTATGACTGATTTGTTTTTATCTTCAACTAAAATAAATTCTCCGACAGCGTTAAATGTAAAACTTTTACCATCTAATGTAACAAGATGTGGATCTCCTGCTGCTTGTGCTAAAATAAACATAAAAATACACATTAATGATACATTATGTAAGATTTAGATAAAGAACTAGCCATTCTTGCTATAATAGTTTGAAAATAGATAATGTAAAATGAATAATTTGAAAATTTCATTCAAATTACTCTATTGCGAGCGACGATATTAGCCTTTGAAGGTTTGACACGACGTGTGCAATAATTTCAACCACCATACTGGTTGTTCGAAGCTAAGTCTCGCTCCTCCATTTTTAGCTTAAATCAAAATATGGCTGAACTGTTTTAATCTATTTAATATCGGAGAAATCCGATGCCATCGAGAGTTGATTATGGCCTGGATAAGTTAATTAATGTCTAATTAATAATTTAGAAAACATTTCAGGCCTAAAGAAAGACCTGCAATATGCAGATTTAGCTCTTGCATAATGTATGTTTAATGATGCAATAGGAAACAAAAATGAAATGAAATGGAGTTTAATGTCCTACTGTTCTGCACCGGCTGGGCTAATGAAGATGGGCATACTCCATACAGTGTGCTATGAGGGAATTTTGCCCGGACAGCGGCACTACTCTTACATCGAATTCCAACTGTCAAGAGTTCTTTTACATGCACGTCTAAACAACTATTCGGCGCATGCAAAGGCGTCTTTCCTGTGGGAGGAAAATCGATTTAGCAGGAGTAAACCCATAAGGTTGGAAGGTGCCCATATCTCCTATCCACATATGTTCACACCAGAGATTGAAACCACAATCCTAAGACAGGGGTAAACTGTCAGCTAGAGCTCAAAGTGTGACACTCTGGACCATGGAGGAATGCTCACTAGTCCACTGGTTCACTGATATATCTATTATAGTGGTTGCGTTAGGGTTAGGGTTAAGGTACACTAGTCTGCGGGTTTATTAGTCCACCAATATCTATTATCAGGGTTGGGTTAGGGTTCGGATTATGTTTTTTGATACCCATAATTATAGTATTTTTTATAGCGGTGGACTAGTGAACCCCTCTCGGACCATCAGAGCATCGTAGCCCCTGTATATTTTGGAAGAATATTATATACCCATGTTAACACTATAGCCATAGAAATGGGATTCCTGGTATGTTTACACTAGAACACTGGGTTGAACTTTTAGTCATTTTGGAATGGAATTTTGCTGTACTTTGTAATTGAAGAACACAATAAACAATCTCAATCGTCTGAAAATATTCAAATACGATCAACATGAAACTTAGCATACCTCTTCCTTGGAAAATTGTGCATCAATTCACGAACTCCTAATTGGCGGCAAAGAGAGAGAGAGAAATGGGGTTTAATGTCCACTTGACACAAACTAGGTCATTTTGGGACTAACATATGGTTCAATTGTATTTCCAGGAGGACCTGGAGAAAACCCACGAGGTTGGATAGGCGACCCTACTGCTTGTCACGTACAACCGGGGATTTGAAACCACGCCAGTTGACTCAATGACAGGGCAGTTCCTTGGTCCATATAGTACTATAAGTAATAAGTAATTCTGATTAAATTTCAAACTCTTTCTAGAACACCTGGTTCAACTTCTTGTCATTATGTAAAGTTAATTTCATTTTTAAATAAATATATCTGATTAAATTTGAAAACTGGTACCTGCAGCTGGTGGTTCGTAACCTTGACATGTAGCAGGAAGTCGATAGTGAAGAAATTCTTTACACAGAGTTTGATTGGTTGAATATTGACAGCAGTGAAGAGAAGGCAATATATCTGATTTCAGATAAGTGAAGAAAGGCACAATATTGTCTCCCTGATCTCCCTGAGAACGGTAATGATATCTTGTTAGTGTTCCCCCTCCCTCACTTTCCCGCGCGTCCAATAATTCACCGTCTTTATCGTAACAACACACCTCACTGTTGGCTCGAGATCTACAAATATAAAACAATAAAATTCTTAGTCTTGTAATGTTGTTCATTAAATTCATTTTACTGAACGAATAGCTACAAGTTTTACAACATCTAGACGTTGCTAGACTGGTCTGTAATTCCTGAACTTATAGCTACCTTATCTCCCTTTAATGCAGACACATGAACAATAGCGTCCAATCAGAGGTTATGACACAAACACACTCAAATCAAACATGGCAACCTCCACAGAAACCTTGACACTGAGGAATCTTGAATTTTGCAACTCGATTATCACAGGTAGAAAGCACGAAACTTGGTATAAGGGATGATTGAGGAATCGAAATCAGTGCCGAAATTTGCAGGGTATTACGTGAAGGGCTTGATAAGATGTACAGAGTTAAAGCAAGATCAAGCCTTCTATTGATGATGAGTAAATTGGGAGACTAAAGGGGAATAACTCTAGCAAATCTGGTTGCCCAAACCAATGTGTACAGTATATGTTAGAGCCTTTTTTCATCATATATATTTTTGGGACAACATCTTAATTTTCATGGATTAATACATGATGGAAATAAGTAACCTGTCACACACAGACAATAAAGTCAGACTTCGTCTGGTATATATTAGTCATCTGGCCCTGAGTTCACAAAACCATTCCCAGACTTAACTTAAGAATTTACTCAAAATTGTTCACCTCATTTTAACTAAAATGTAGCCCTTTAGAAAACTCTTGTTGTTTTAATGTATCAAATACATCAATAAGAAACTATTTGCAAATTTTTGTGTTCTTTCTGGATAAAAGATATTTCTTATAAACAGTGAATGAATGTTGAGTAAATTCTTAACTTAAACATGCATTATGCAAGAGCTAAATCTGATTATTGCAAGTTTTAATTTAGGCTTCAGATGTTATAGAAATTATTTATTAGATCTTTATTTAAACAACAAGACCAAAATCAACTCTGTAGACCCACGGATGGCTCGGCTACAGCTCGGATTTAAATAGGATTTCACTAATTGATTAAATCAAATAAGGGGTAACCTGATGAAAATATGTCAGTTAGATCGAGGCTAAATGATAGAGTATACTTAGCGAGGCCGCTGTAAAGCGTTTCGGTATGCCATTGAAAACTTTATTTGATAATCGAGATATGTAGGTGGAGTTAACGCCTGTCAATCAAATGATCAGCGAAGGTGAAGACACAATTCGCTACCATTTCTAGGCAAATATTACAACGATGATAACTATGTTCAGAATAAAGTAATTTGACTGAATTTTTCAATATATTCTTCTTTCATCATCTACTTTTGAACTGTTATAGCAAGAATGGCCAACTCTCTATAAAAATCTCCCATAATGGATCTTTAAGTCTGTGAACTCTGGGTCTGATGCCTGTAATTCATCAGTCACAGATTTTATCAATTTTCCTGTATTTTTATCATCAATGTTCACTCGCAAACAGCTTACAGGGAATAGTAGATCTAAGATATCTCAGTGCTCAATTGTATATCAATGTTGTGGGAATAATGTATACACAGTGGATGACCGACTTAGCTGTTACTAAGTCGTGTGACCTAATGACTTGCCTATTGATGTACGTTAACCTTTTTATATTCTAACTATAAATGGATAAGCTCAAGTGTTGACATCAAAACATATACTATACAGGATTATCACTAGAGACATTAAAATAAATAAACAATAATGGATTAAATACTTAACTAATTAGCTTCTACCCTGACTGATATTAACCATGACACATTAAATACTATCTAAAACTGACTGGTCATTTTGCCTGGTCATAATACTGATGATCTTTTAGAGGCATTTAGTAACTGGATAGAGCAATAAACTATAACACATACTAATGGAAGAACAATTACTGATTTATATAGGCGATGTTGCTTGAAAACGTTGAGAGAATACTCTTCGAAAAGTCGCAAAATAAATCAGTAATTGTTCTTCCATAAGTATGTTTTATAATTTATCGTCATAATACTAGCTATTGTATTTTGTTAAACGTACCCAATATAATTTGGTATTAAGCAGGTGGCAGCACCAGGTTTGTATAAACAATTATAGACAGCCGTGGAAGTCGAGTCACATAACGGATAAGGTTGATATCTTCCTGTATCACCAACAGCTTGTCCTAATGTACACGGGCACGGTTCGCTCAACGTAACATTCGACGTCTGTGACTCCATGCCTAACCAACCATTACACAGTTCTTCTGATTGGCTTGTTCCTTCCCATCGCACAAAAAACACATCAGACCAAATTGCTGGTAACCAACTAAAATAAAAATAATAGAATGAAATTATTGGACTGGGGCGTATAAAACACAACTGCCAAGAGATCGTGTACCCTTCTGAGAAATCCAACTGCCAAGAGAACCTTTACCCTCCTGAGAAGTCCCACTGCACAGAGATATTTTACCCTTCTGAGAATTACCATGGACTCTTTCACCCTTCAGAGAACTCCAACTACAAAGGGGCCATTTACCCTTCTGAGAAGTCAAGCTGCCAAGAAAACATTTGCCCTTCTGAGAACTTCAATTATCAAGGGACTATTTATTTACATGCAACAAAGGATCTAAATTTTCAAGTAATTTGAGTAAAATGCTGTTACCTATCTGTTTTATTACATGAAATGAGGTTACCTATCTGTTTTATTACAAGAAATGAGGTTACCTATCTGTTTTATTACAAGAAATGAGGTTACCTATCTGTTTTATTACAAGAAATGAGGTTACCTATCTGTTTTATTAAAAGAAATGAGGTTACCTATCTGTTTTATTAAAAGACGCACAACTGATTTTAATTACAGCCAAAACCTCGTCAGGTTCCATTTTTGGTAACTTTAAATTAGATTTTCCTGAATTTGTGAAGACTTCCCCGTTTGTTTTCACTTCAATGAATTCTGGCCCTGTTTTAGTTTCCTGTAAAAAGAACGGAAACAAATAATGTTGATCATTAATTTAACCATTTAATTGTTTTTCTTTTCGAATTAAGTTTCATGCATTGATTCTCCATCTGTGGGAATCCAAGTGGCTAAATGAGTAAGGAGGTCATGGGTTTCATCCTGGTGCTTGCCAACAAAGTTCCTCAGGAATTTCCAATGTGGTCTTCCCTTGTTTTTCTGCAGGACGGATAGCCTGACAAGGAAAAATGTCTAGTCATTCTTATGGGGCATAAAACCAAGGTGCCATGTAAACGTTGGCATGCTTGTAAGAGAACCCTTGTCAGCTGGAACTGAGTAGGCTGTAGCACCGCTGTTCGAGCAAAATTGCCCCCCATAGCACAATGCATGGTGTAAGCCTGTCTTCATTAACCTCGTTGGTGAAGAACAATAGGGATGTTAACTCTTAACCGGTCGACGTCATTTTGACGTTATGACGTCAAGTGGTCAGGCTACATAAAGGCATGCCTATTTCAAAGGACTACTGCCGAATAATTATAAGTGATAGACTCTTGACACCAATAAAAAAGTTGCTGGGGATAAGTTGATCTATAATTTGCAAATCATTCTAAATCCTTTTCATCAGAAATATCGTCTTCAGAATCGGTGTCATCGATATAATACGATTCGGAATAATTCATAAGTATTTCAACCACTTCGAGCGTCTTTAACGTTCCCGACACCGTTAAATTACGTTTTTCGTCAAAAAATGTTGAACAAAGACATGTTTTTCTCAATGCCCTTGACAAGACAAGTTCCTGTCTGACACGCATGCGTGGCCATATCAATTAAATACGAAACTATATACTCAAATGCGGCTTATAAAAAAGGTTCTTGCTGTGGTCGACTTTAGTGCTATAGAAGTACATTTTGCCTGGACAGTGGTATTTCCATACACTTTTTTTTTTATTGAATTCCAATAAGAGAGAGAGAGAGAGAGAGAGAGAGAGAGAGAGAGTGGGGGGTTTAACGTCCACTTGTCACAAACTAGGTCATTTTGGGACTAACATATGTTTCAATTTCATTTCAACAATTTGCTTGCGCTTAGGTGTGGTATTTAGCAGTGGGAGGAAACCAGAGGACCCCGAGAGAAAAACGCATGTGGTTGTCACCTACAAGCAGGGTAATGAAACCACACAACTTGACTCAGTAACAACCTTATGATTCAACACACACGCATTAAACCATACGGCCACCCAACCCAAATACAAGAAAAAGTGAAACTGTACCAACCTTATAAGTTAGAAGTTGAATATGAACGTTACTGGACGGAATTCCTGAACCTTCCCAAACGGTCTTGTCCCATTCTACTCTAACATTGGTTATACCATTTTGTTTTGCTATCCATTTCGTGGGGTCTACACGTGTAACTTGTCCGTGGGTGTGAGCTAAATTTACTAAAATGAATAATATGATAAACAGTATAATATTTTTAACATATATTCTCTAACTAAGACATCGTTCTTAGCAGCAAAATATTTTAGACATATGAACAAATGGGTGAACTCAAACAAAATCTTGAAAAGTTTCATAATACAAGAAAGATATGTGAAATGAAATGAAATGGGGTTTAATGTCCTACTGTTCTGTTCTGAACTGGGCTAATGAAGACGGGAAATTTTGCCCGGACAGCAGCACTACAGCCTACTCTTATATTGAATTCCAACTGTCAAGGGATCTTTTACGTGCACGCCAATGTGTACACGGGGCCTCGGTTTTTCATCCCATCCCAATGACTAGACAGTTGTCCTTGTCAGGCCCTCCATCCTGCATCACTGACAAGGGAGAAACACGATGGAAAATCTGGATGAACTTTCTCAGCCAATGCAAGGATCGAACACCCAACCTTCAGACTAGCAAGCCAGCGTCTTACCTACTTAGCCACCGTGATCCCCCAAGAAAGATAAACTCGCATGTCAATATATTTCTGAACATGTTGCATTCGAAAAGACTGTCCAGGTGTTTGAGCTAAATTTACTCAAATAAATAAGGGGATAAATAAAATAATATTTTTAACATCTACCAAGACGAGACACCTTGGCTCAGTGGATAGGGAGCTGACTCTTATACAACGGCTAGCCGCCAGGATCCATTCACTTGATCAGATTCACAAAACATTCTCAGGCTAAAGTTATGAATTTACTCAAAATTCTTCACCTCATTTTAACTATTAAAATATAGCCCTTTATAAAACTTTTGTTGTTTTAATGTATCAAATACATCAATAAGAAACTATGTTTCTGGATCAAAGATATTTCTCATAAACAGTGATGTTGAGTAAATTCTTAACTTAAGCTTGAGAATGCTTTGAAAAACCGGGACATTAGTATTTTCATATGAAATAAACAAATTAACATTGTCTGGGGTAATCGTCGGTTAAATTTATTAATATAAAATCCTCAACTTACCAACGGTATATAAGCCTGTATAATTCCAACCCGATTCGTTAATTTTTAAAGAAAAATTTAAACGTCCAGTCCGAAATATTGTAGGAAAAACACACCTAGCCTTAGATTCGTCTAGAACTTCACATGGGAATGTCTGATTAGTGTCGTCAATACGACCTGTCAATTTATCACCTATACTGAAACACGGACTTGTAATGTTCACAAAATACCCCCCTAACATGTTTCCCGGTTGTGGCCATAAGTTCACTGGTCCAGAACCTGCAAAATATATAATAATAAATGATAAAAATAACATTCTGACCATGTATTTTTAGGTAAAATTAGGTTTCTTTAGTTTTAGAGGGACTGTCACATAACAACAATATATCGAACAAGTTCAATGAGATTGGCGTGGAATTGTTATGTCGATATCAGGGGTGTCAAACTTATTTCGATTCGGAGGCCACATGAACAAATCTTACATCAAGTGGGCCAGAGATATACAAATATATCAAGATAAAGTCAAATGTCCTTGAACTTTACTGAATTCTAAAAAGAAAGCCAAACGTCCTTGACACAGGTAATTTTTAAGAATGGTTTCCAAATTGCTAAGATATAATATTGAACACAACGTTCTCTTGTATTACACACAACTTAGATATCTATATCATACAATACAGAAGTCAGAGTTTTATTGAAACTGGAAAACAATAATAAATGATATCCACCGCTGGTTTCTAAAAATTATTGACACGTCAGTTTGTTGACACATTTAAACCCTTGACGAGCTGGATCTGGTATGCAGGCCGTGTATTTGACACCCCTGGTCTATATCGTAAAGACTAACTTTAAGTACATATAACTTTGTTTGGTCATTTTATATGCTCTTTGAAAACTAGTTCAGTAACCGTATATTCTCAAGACTCTCCACGAAAGTGAACTTCTCCGACCCCCCCTCCCCCTCATCCTGCCTTTGGCTGAGTCAAAATCATTAAGATTTGTTACTGTTTTGAATTTATTTATAAAAAATTATAAAACAAACCAATATCAACGAATACTTTTACAGACAATTTAACATGCCTTAATTTGATAAATTTGAAATGAAACTGTTTTTAAAGAAATAGAAATACAAGTGCAAAGCTGATAATACGTTAAGTTTGCCTATAATAATATAAACATCCTGATTTTGCCATCCTCAAAAGATTAATACACTTTAGAGAAATTAGTGTCTAAAACTGAATGAAATAAGCCAGTACATAATAGAATGGTAAGCAGAATAGTTGGGACTCTCTACACCTTGGGAGACTAAAGGGACATAACTCTGTTATGCTTGCTTGGTAAAATCATCAATTTGTTTCTGGAACAGAGCTGTCTTTTGGACTGTCCGTTAATTTGCCCACCAGTAAATTTAAATATTTTAGAAAATCATGTTTATTTAGCTATTATTTAGAAACAAAAAACAACATTTTTTCAAGAAATAAACATTTAGAACATTCAAGTAATTTAATTAGATTTGTTGATTTTTTTTCACAAATCAGATTTCTGGAATCATATCTAAATTTTAGCTCAAAGGGAAAATAAATTATTGAAATGTAAATTTAACTATACAGAGTGTGTCACATTACCTATCGAAATCACAAAACAAATAAATTCACTTCTGTTGATCTAATAACAAACGTTTACCTCCTGTAAGATTTACATAAATCTAATAGAGGGAGAGAGAAAAGGGGTTTAACATCCACTCGACACAAACTAGGTCATTACGGGACGAAAACATGGTTCAGATTTATTTCAATAATTCGCTTGCGCGTAGGGGTCTGTAGTAGTGGGAGGAAACCGGAGGACCGGAGAAAACCCACGAGGTTGGACAAGCCACCTTACTCCTTGTCACATACAAGCGGGGATTCGAAACCGTGCCACTTGACTGATGGACAGACCTTATGATCAAAAGCGCATGCCATAATTGTAATAAACTTTGACTGAACAGAAATAAGAAGAGAGGGTACCGGTACAGACAGACGTTTGATCAAATTTTGAAGGGGGGGATATCAGTTCAGACAGTTGCCCCTTTTGTACACTCGTTACCTGAATTTGAACACCGTTCTTGAGTTTGGGCCGAATCGACTTTGAAAAACCATTTGCCCGGGATTCCGACGTTGCTGGTCAGAGTTAAGTTTATAACAGCCTCGTTTCTAGCACCCTGGATCTCGTAGAATGTCTTTTGGTCTCCGGCATTAAAACCAGCCTGTCAACAAATCATTTTAAAACATATTCGGGTGCTGCCGACTAAAACTAATCACAAGTCAAAACTTCCCTAACCCTTTGTTAACCTTGGCAAGGATAAGAAGAACAAGAGGAAAATTGATTGGACTCTGTTATGTATAACAAGGCTTTTTAGGCTGTATATGTTTGCGATAAATAATAGCAATCCTCAAGGATTTTAGATTTTGTTTTATAGACCAAATTTCTCAAAGAATTCAAACCAAATATTTTAGAAAAATGTAGTACACGATCTGTTCCGATTTTCATTAAGGTGGATAATTGAAATCTCAGGCCTTTGGTAGTGGCGGGGGGGGGGGGGGGTCAGCACATTCGGCTTTAAGGGGGCGCCCATACTGATATGGGGACATTAGTCGTTGGCTTCGTATTGCATCCAATGGAAAGGGCGCGGTTCGGTGCCCGGGAAAGAGGCCTGAATCTGGTCACTGTCAATTATCTACTGTTTGCCTCTAGGCATTATTGTTGTGATAATTTATCTTCCGTAAATTAATTTTATTCTTTATCTTCAAATTTTCTATGTTAATTTTCTGTTGTAGACATATTTCCTCCAGGATATTTTTAACTACTTTCAATTTCAACTCCTTTTTCATTAAATTTTTTTTCTTTTCTTGTAATATTGCTTCTATAATTGAACACGGTATTTAATCGGCTATAAATCCATGGGAAACAGACAAGCTGAAGCAGTATATAAGATGGAATGATGATTACTTACAGGACTATATCTATATAGGGACCTTGTTACTATGGTGTTTGTGCGCGATATAAATTTCCGTATTATTATCAAAATTTCTGTATATACCAGTATCTTTCTTTGCAAATCCTTCATAACCTTTGATTGAAATAATTTTATGCCATGAGTCAATAGGATTGAAGAACATAGCATTTTACGATTTGCCCTATTTTCATCCATTGATAAATCAAAGCAGTGTAGAAGACGGAGCGGTTATCGATTCCAGGGCTATATTTTTCATTGCCAACCCATCATAATTTTTAGGTTGAAATAATTTTACGCCAGAGTTAAGTGAGATTATGAACTTTTTAAATCATTAATACTACTTTAAATGTGTGTAACTTTCATACATTGTACTTATGATATTTACAGTGCTTTTTCTTTGGCTGTAGGCAAAGATAATAAGGTCTATGAAACAACACCCTCGTGCCGTTAATGTTAGCCTTGGCTTTTGACTCCCTTCAAACATATTTTAATACAGAAATCAATTTTCTTCTTGGTCATCTTATGTACAAATAAAAATAAAGATTAAGGAGATTTTGACTTGGAGTAATAAGAAAAATAACACAAAAGCAGCATTAAGCATTGGAGGAGGGTGGTTAGTCGAGGAACAGAAGGTAAAAAATCAAAGTAGCACAGCACAATACAATACAGTATCAAATCAGTGGAGGTACCACAAGGACCCCTGCTCCCCCTTCTCCACCCCCCTCAGTGGAGGTCCCACAAGGACCCCCTGTCACCATTGCCAAAAATTCCTGGTGAAATAAACTGGTGACCCCTGCCCCACCTACTCCACCCCCCTCAGTGGAGGACCCGCAATGACCCTCATCATGTATATGTGTAAAATATGTGGGTGTATATGTGGGTTGCCATTGTGAATATTCAGTTATCCATTAAATAAACTGGTGACCCCTGCCCCCCCCCCCCCCCCATTATGTATATGTGTAAAAAATGTGGGTGTATAAAAACAGCAAGATTTTCTGGGTTGCCATTGTGAATATTCAATTATCCATTAGATATATTAATAAGAAATGTCTATCATCAAATTTTAATCTTCAGAATTATAGTCCTCTGAAAAATGTTTCAGATTGACTTTCGAGGACTTGGGGATAGTCTTTAATCAGAGGACTGAAATTCGTTTTTTGACTATAAACCTGTCAACTATTTCCTCAATGTCCCAATCAATACAGCGTAGAATCTTTTAAAAATTTGCTGGTTGGTGATCCCCTGCACCCCTCTGTTCCCAAACCCTTGCATCCCCACTGATTGAAAATTGAAAGAAGAATACCAGAAAACTCCTATAAACGTTGTTCAACAACAATAAATAAAATCACTGAAAAAAGCTCAGGATAAAATACATATATCTGTAAATGTGGTTTATTGGTACCTCAAAAGAGAACCAATTACAAGTGACAAATAATGAAGTTGACTCTTATAACTAGTCTCTTCTGAGGTATTGGTATCGATATATGTCCAGCAACTCTGCTCAAGACCATTTGCCCAGAGATTACCTTATTTATAACCAATAGTTTAGACTTATTAATTTTGTGTCCAAATTATGACTCCATTTATAAAATTCTTATAATTGCTTATTTTCTTGTACATTTATATTAAGGATATATTTTCTGGAATTCATCTTGTATGATACATAATTTACCTAAAAACTCAACTTCTTTTAAATCAAAATTACATTTAAAATTTTCCAGATATGGTCTTTTCAAAAATGTATACCTGATTGTTAAAAGATTTGAGTTTTTAAGTTAAGGATTTTTATTTACGTTATAAATTATAAATTTCTTATTCATATTTTGTTAAAAACCGTTATGGAATATCGGCTAACTGAGTACATTAAATACATCTTGGTACGAAACACAATCAATGATTGATTTCCTTTGTAAAATTTTTAATTTATTAAACAATCAAACGATCAATTTAACCAAAAAAATAAAATTTGGATAAATTTGAAAATGTTATCAACGATTATTTGACTTTAGAGCATTTTCACTAAACAGTTCACAATTTATATGCCAAATTTAAATGCTATTTTACTGATCAGTTCTATCAGATCTATTAAAACATTTGATTTTGACTAGGGTTTGTTAATATAGCATACTATACATCCATAATATATTGAAGTGAGTTAGCCAATATGATTTATAATCTATTTATATTCATTACATATAATTAGTAACTATTTAAGATAGCTAGACTCAAGTTTCTCAATGATCAATAATTACATAAATAGAAAATACTATATCTTTACAGAACAATATCAAGTGGATTGATAAATTCCTAAAAACAATATTGGGAGCATGGAAGCTCAGTGGGTATGGCGCTTGCTTAAAAAACAGGAGATCTCGGGTTTGATTCTGATATTGGGACCCAATAAATGGGACCCAAAAACTCATCTCAAATGAATGGGACTCACTTACTCATCTAAAATGTAAGGGACCCAATACATCCTCTAAAGTCAATGGGACTCATCTAAAATAAGTGGGAACCCAATAATAACTGAGGACCCAATAACCCTTTTTATACAAAATTTGCAGAATTTAAAAGAGAGAGAGAAATGGGGTTTAACATCCACTCAACACAATCTAGGTCATTTCGGACTAACATATGGTTTAATTTCATTTCAATAATTCGCTTAAACGTAGGTGTCTTTAGCAATGGAAGGAAACCAGAGGACCCGGAGAAAACCAACAAGGTTGGACAGGTGACGCTACTCCTTGTCACATACAACCGGGGATTCGAAACCACGCCAGTTGACTCAATGACAGGCCTTAAGATACAGCGTTCACGTGCTAACCATTCGGCCATCCAACCCCCTTCATGAGATATGGTATATCAATTAAACAAGATATTGTCCAATACAGATATAATATATTTTTTTTCATTATATATGGAGATAAAACAAGAATTAAAAAAATTGAAAATAAAAGGAGAAAAAGGTTTTCTCGAGGATATAGTGGACTGTAAGAATTCGTGGAACTAAGGCAAAATAGTAAAAAACGTCCATCTAGATAGACCTCTTTCATATACAATACAATCTCTACGCCTTTTAATTTATTAAAATTATACAAAAAATACACAATAAAAATTAAACATCTTTCTTTGGATGCAGCCGATTAATTCCTGACAGCAGACGTCCAATAACAAATGCAAAAAAAAAAAAAAAAAAAAACAAATCTCGAACATTTTTCACAAAATTTTCTTGCCTCAAACTTTTTTTTTCATGCACATTGTCTGTCCTCTTTGTAATTTAGTATGCGTGTAATATAAATATGGTATATAATATTTTGTGTGCGTTGGGTGATATTTGCCTAAAAACTAACATAAATGATATATACAGCAAAATTGCAATGTCTACTTCTAAAATGGCCTAAATCTAGACTACTAGGCTGAAAGAGAATGGGTATTGCATATGACATACTATGACATTTTTCAAACTTCATAATAATTGATGACGAACTCATTATTTAACAATTTTGATAGCCTTTCATTACTGATTAACCTGTCAAACATTTTCCTACGTCAATAATTTTTTTTTTTTAACATTTAAAAATCTCTTATTTCTACAAAATAGTTTTAATAGTTTAATATCCAAAAGGTTTTTATTGTTTAGTTTCTTGCAAATAGATAATAACAAAATATGAATTTCTCCTAAATCAAAATGTTATCTATTGGGTTTTTTTTTAAAAAATATTATTATTTGATATTAAAAATTAAGGAAACATTCACTTGACAAGAACTCAATGAAATATAAACCATAAATAACATCCCACAGTGGGATGACTTTTCAGAATGACTAGTTAATCTGGATGAAAAAAAAATCACATAACTCTCAAATATACCCCCAAAAAACCAACAAAATGTAAAGACTAAATGAAGAAAAAATCTACGCAAAAGTTTGAAAAATGTCGGACTCGTCTCATGTTCCACTATTTGCTTGCAAAGCAGAATTTTGACCACCATATCGCTCTACCTTCCATACCTGGGCAGGGTTACCGCCAAGGCCTGTGGTTGTATCCCCGCCACTGTTGGAGCCTGTCGTCCACTCTATCTTCTCATAATTAAATATCACAAAAGATATCTTGCCATTTGTAATTAGAACTGCTTGGAATGTATTTTTCTAAAATAGAAAAAAAAAATATATAAATAAATTCAATCCCTTTCTGTATATATACAAAAAATCTGATCCTTAAAAACACAACACAATTTATATGGAAAACAATCACTGGTTTAGGCCTACACATATAGCACCAGGTTTGACAAGTATTCTTTTATCCTTACAAGTACAAACAATAAGAGCATACTTGTCAAACCTGGGGCCTGTTTTACAAAATTTTAACTAAGATAAAATCCAAATTTTAGTAATTTGATTGGATAATATTAGATCGATTTTAGTGCTTAGCCAATCAAAATTGAAGTATCTACTAAAATTTGGATTTTATCTTTAGTTAAGGTTTCGAGAAACAGGGCCCTGGTGCTATATGTGTATAAACCAGTGATTGTTTTCCACATAAATTGTGTTGTGGTTTTTAATGTGCATAATAGCTAAATGTCACCCAAGGATTATCAACTGAAAGTTATTTTAGGGTTATTGGATTGATTTCCCTGCAATCTACATTATATTGTCAAACTGTATAATTTGTTATTTAGCATATCATATTCCGAAAAATAATGTTGACTGTTGCACATAGCCTAATGACGAAAACATATCGTCTCCTTCAGCTCGAAAGTTCCCATATTTAATTCAAATTCAAGGCAACAATCCTACAAAATTTACCGGTCTTCGTTATTTCCACACAAACCGGAAGTAACTGCCCGTGAGAATTAAAAGCTCTTTATATTGTAATCAGTCGTCAAAAGATTTTAACTGACTTGCACGTATTATTAGGTTTTATTTGTTATTCCGTTACCCAGAGCACGCGTAGTTTTCGCGCCAAAATCAACCGCTCTTAAAATGTATTTTATAATATGCAATGTCTATATGGCATGGAGTCCTTATAATTAAGACGTCGTCTCAAGGAAAATGTCACATTCGCCATAAATTTATTTCAAAATGTCTTTATGGTATAGAGTCCTTATAATTCGCCGAGGTAATTAAGACGCCGTCCCATGAAGAATGCCACATTCGCCATAAATGTATTTCAAAATGGGAGTCCTGACAAAAGTTCTTTTCTTTGGGAGTTCCTTATATAAATAAGTTCTTGATTAGTTTCAACTAATCCGAATGAATATCTTTTTCCTAAATAAAGCATACTATTGGTTACCCGAAAATAACATTTTAAGAGACCAGTATAAGAATCATGACTCCCGCATTCAATATTTTTTTATTATTGTTTTCGGTTTTATGGATAAATATAACAGTCGTGTCATAATATTAATATAGTTTATATTACATGTCATTATGGCAGCTATGAAATTCACAACAATCGTCTTAGACCACTCACCAACACAACAGCTCAAGGGAATGTAGGCTTTTCGCACACTGACTTAACCACAACAGAGGCGTGTCCAGGAATTTAAGCAGCGAGGGGTTTAAAGTTGGAGATAACATCCAGTTTGGCGTTAGGTCGGGGGAACAACCCGCGAATTTGATAAATTCACAAGCTTTGAGACAATATTATTTCTGTTCATTTAGGTGCATGCATGTCTATGATTACATTGGACCTAACCTTTACCCAAACCCTAACCCACAATTTCGTTAACAATCACGTGCCTTAACACTATTTACAACTCAGCGACCATGACGAAATCTCGAGTGGGCCTTAAGGAATAGATCTATTCTAGGCAAGGTGGATTGGGGAGTATGGCGCTAGCTAAGAAACCGTATATGAACCAAAACACGATGGTGGATTGAAGAAGCAATGAGCCTACCTTGTTTTCACCATCACCTGCTGCTCCGTAAAAACACACGTGATCCCACGTAGCTATAAATATCCACGTGGCTTGGAAATTTCTTTCATTGGGAAAAAATTTATTAACTTCTGAAGTTGCTCGGTGTAAAGAATGTGGATGTGTGTCTTCACGATACCACACTCTCCCGCCTTTTGTTACGTCGACGTCCGCCCAAAAAGGTGCTATAATCGGTGTTTCATCTTTCAACGGGAAATCGCTTGGCTTGTAATCTTTGAGTTCTTTTAGGAACGATATGACACCATTATTGTTTACCTGCAATGATAAAATAATCACCAATAAAAATATGGTTATACATAATCTGGTAAAAAAAAATATGTCAAGCAATCCAACGCCTATGAATTCATGGCTGGACCCCAGTTTTGCGTCCCAACATACGGAACCAGGCACAAAAAGGTAAAGTTTCACAAATGACCCGGTGACGAGCATTATTATTTTGAAAACAATTCCGGTGTTGGTCGATACAATTCAAAGGGGTTTTGCAAGCTTGGTTTCCATTTGTCAGAGGTGCAGGGTGGATGACCAGACATGTACAAACGTCTAGTCCACCTATGTTCGTAAAAAGAACACTTGACAGCTGAAATTTGATGAAGAGTACGGGAGAAACGGCGCTGCGCGGTAAATATTTCCGCCACAAAGCACTGCATGGCGTATGCTCTTATTCATTAACGCGGTTGGCGCGGAGAAATAGGACGTTAAACTCCATTTTAATCACTTTTCCATAAAGTAGTAAGAAAGTATGAATATAATCAGTGCCGGACTGGTGGGCCGAAGGCACGCGAACGTCCGAGGGTGGTCGGGGGGGGGGGCAGGTCTACCCCCAGGAAAATTTAAAAATTGACAGCCGCAAACCCATTTTCCAAGCATTTCAGACCAAAGCAGAAGAAGGCAATTTTTTTTCTCTTGTCATGTGTATTGTCCTCTCCTTCCTTCTTTCTTTTCTTTTCTTTTCTTTTTTCTTTTTTTTTTTCTTTTTTCTTTTTTGTTTATCGCCACCCCCCCCCCCCCCCCCCCGCAATCCTACGCTATGCTGGACAAGTTCCTCAAACAAGAATGGCTCTTCTGGTCAGTTTCCCCAGGAAATTTCTTTGCCCCAAGAAAGAGAGAGAGAGAGAGAGAGAGAGAGAGAGGTTTAACGTCCACTCGACACAAACCAGGTCATTTAGGGACTAACATATGGTTTAATTTTATTTCATAATTCACTTCCGCGTAGGGATCTTTAGCAGTGGGAGGAAACCGGAGGACCCGGAGAAAACTCACGGGGTTGGACAGGCGAACCTACTCCTTGTCACGTATGACCCCAAGAAAAAACGCACGAACTAATTTGCATTAAGACGAGGGTAAAAAAACAGTGCACCATGTGTACTTCTTACTAGATCCTACTAGATGCTGGTGACGTTATCAGTGATGATAACGGTTGTAAGGGTTTGGTACTCGACATCAATGCGTTGGTCGCTACCCATGCATAGATTATATCACTTTAAGCAACCACTCAACTTATTCAAGTATTGGTAATTTAATAGTACCTACTTCATAACATCGTGTCGGTTATTTTATACACACCGATGAAAAAAACTAAAGACGGATCCTACAGAAATGGATTGTCATAAGTCTTTAAGGGGCTGTGGAAATCGAGCGCTAGAACACTGACCGAGTTCAAATCCCGGCGTAGGTTGAGAACAACCTTTTATTCTTGCTTATCAGCGATGGCGATTGACAAAGGAAGTGTGCATACTCGGTTGTCGGATGGAACAAAAAGAAATGATGTTCACCAGTGTACATGTTAGCTTATGCTCGTTACACATTCATTGGTTGCCCTTTTGGTTTATCTAAATCAAAAAAAGTGTCTGTACCGTAACGATTTCGTGAATACCTCTCCCCGATTAAGCAAACTTTATGAATGGAATCGTGATTACCTCGACACGAAAATAGTTACGGTAATAAAATATCTTCCTGTATCCATTTTAACCCCTTGTTTTAGTTAAGGGACGCTCGTCGGCAAACACCTAATCTTAAAGGGAATGTCTAGCCATGTTAAAAATCTCTATAGAATATTTGCATTCTCTTTGAAAATAGGCATCAACATGCATCTTGGAATTTGGATTTATGACCGTAACAGTAATAGTTTTTTTTTAGAAATATCAACCGATGGGTCAACAACTATGTTTAGGTATAACTCGTAGTTTGGATCAGAAAATGGTCTGTATTTTATGTCAAACAATCTGCGACAGGCAATCCGAAATAAATGAGTTCAAATGTGTACGTTCGACTTGTACGGAGTCCCAGAACGTCTTTATCGGCCGTACTTTGACAGAACTGCCTAAAAACAATCTAATTTGAATATTTCAGTGCACAGTCAAATCACGGCAAATCATATTTGTTTGTTACCAACCGGCGCGGATCTATAAAGTTTATGGGAAGCAAGGCGGTAGATCTCACAGACAAGGATTTTCCGGATTTGATTCCGGAGATGGTCATGAAATTTTCACGGAATTTCCAGCCTGATTTCCCCTAGAGGGTGGTGCAGGAAGATAAATCGTCTATGCATTCGAATGGGATTTAAAAAAAACCCTCAGCCCTGCGTACACGTTAACTTGCACACAACAAAACACAAGGAAGTTAGAGTGCGGTTAAGAGTAATCAGAAAATGTACATTATAGCACACAGCTTGATGTGTACTGGTCTAAAATATCCCGGCTGGATCTGAATTAACAGCAGAAACGTAGGTACTTAACCGCCATTTCGATTATCCTATAGTTAATATTTGGTGCATAATTTGCCATTCTAGAATGTTCGTCCTAGAAAAATGATATAATTTTTTTTCAACATGTCAATCAAAAAGGCTTCCAAATTTGACATCTTTATTTAAGAAAACATCTCTATGTTTTTAAGACCTTTACGTTCAGTCTGCTTGTCTATCAAGATCAACTGATGCATATCGGCATGATAAATTGCCTCTTATCAAGTTTTAAATGTTTGGTATGTTTTTTATTTGTGTATGTCTTACAAAATCGATGCCCTCAAGCAGAATGAAAATAAGGGCGTGTGTTCTCACCAAATCACGTGAAAACCTTTTTCTTTTTGTTGGTTAAAGTTGCTAATCGTTATTTGAGTGATTCGAAATCTCCCTTTTTCAACTACTGTAATTCAGGGGCCTGCTTCACAAAATTTTAATGAAGATAAGATTTAAATTTTAGCAATTTGATTGGATAATATTAGATTGATTTTAGTGCTTAGCCAATCAAAACTGAAGTACCAGCTAAAATTTGGATTTTATCTTTAGTTACGATTTCGAGAAACGGAGCCTTGTTCTCTTAAGTATTTCTAGAGATATAATGAATTGGAACTTCCACAACAGTCTTCATCCCCTACAGGTGCTATAAACGAGACATCGCGGCTTATAAGTGAAATATTTCGTTGTGCCTCTTATAGTTGACCCAATCGAATCCAAGCCGCGAGAATATCTACCATTCATGTTTTGGTTTTATAAATAATCAATCAGTGGCCTGTTTCACGAAATTTTAACTATAGATAAAATCAATCTAATATTATCCAATCAAATTACTAAAATTTAGATTTTATCTTTGTTAAAATTTCGTGAAACAGGCCCCTGATCGCAGATTAATTCGTGAAAATTAGATACTGTTCCAAAGGGACTAACATAAGGTTCAGTTTCATTTCAATAATAGGGATCTTTAGTAGTGGGAGGTAACTGAAGGACCCAGAGAAAACCCATAGGTTCTACAGGCGACCCTATTCGAAACCACGCCACTTGACTCAATGGCAGACCTTGTGTTAAACCAGACACAGAGCTAGTTGATGATTACAGTCGAAAACAACTCTGTATACTTTTTATTTCATTTTGTAAAATAAAAAACAAAACAAACAAAAAACATCACCAAAAGATTTTAACTTCCGATAATATAGTTGATGGACCGAGAACTTTCATTGTAAATCATTAAAAATCAATACACAATATCGTGCAAAAGACATCCTGCATATAACAACTAGTCGTTCGGATGGGACAGAAAACCAAGGTTCGTGTACACACAGACAGTTGGAATTCTAACCAAGAGTAGGCCTTAGCGCCGCTGTCGAGGCGAAAAATCGCCCATAGCACACTGTATGGCGTATGCACGTCTTCATTAGCTCAGTGATCGGTGCTGAATAGTAGGACGTTAAACCCCCATTTAATTTGACTTCGTATATAACAGTAAACATTATTTAATATAACTAGTCACACTGTACCGTTATTGATAAAATGCCTATGGTATATGGGATGGATTCAATTATAGGTTAATAGGTCATTTGTGATTAATTACAATACAGCCTTTGTAAGACGATTTATTTTCATGTAACGAGAATATTGCTGCAAATTATCTCAATATACCTATTAAATATCACCCGATCTCCTTGCTCAGTACATCAACAACTTCTGATGTAACATATCACGAACGGTTTAAATGAAATAAAGTGAAATAAAATGGTGTTTAACACACCACTTTTCTGCACCAACCGGGAAAATGAAGACGGCATCCACAATGTAGTGTACTACGAGAGACATTTTGCCAGGGGAGTGGCGTATCAACTTATTCTTTGTCGAATTCCAACTGTCATGGGATTTTCATGGGGCCTAGGATTTTCGTACCACCCAAAGAAGCTGTTAGGCCTACTTGCCAAACCTTTCTGGTCTGCGAAACCAGCAACTTACTCATTGAGCCAACGCGGTTCCCTCGAATAGTTTAAAAGTTGTGAGCATCCGATTTGATAATGTAGGTAACGCTTTTGCTGTTGTAACCGTTGCCAAGGGAAAATTTCTGACGAAAAAAATATTCTGTGCGTTTCAAGCGGATCAGGTCGAGAACAATTTTCAAGGACATTGAAGAAAAAACAAAAGTGTTTAGGACCTGCGCCAAAACTCGAATTGGTTCGCATCATAGTGACACTATAGTCAATCTGCGAATATACACAAGTGAGATCTAATGTTTTAATAATTAGAGTTATGTGAGGCAAGATGGCGAGAAGAACAAGGGCGTTAACAGATAATACACAGAACAATTACCAAAACAAAATGGCTTTTCTGATGCGTACAAATATACAGTGACGTCACTCCTGACGTCAAGAGGGGTATTTCCGGAATCAAAACAAATGGCGGATGACTTATATCAAAAAAGCGCCAATTGGAACTATTTTAGTGTACGTCTGCTACGATTCACTTCCCAACCCATTATAATAGTGAAATATTTCTGATGCAA